TAATCCCCTATTTTCCTGATTGCGGTATTCACGGTTGCAATTTACGCCTGACTACACAACGTCGTAATACGTCCCTAGTAGGATTGAAGTACGACACTTCCGTTCGTTGTGTGTCCCCAGTGTTTAGGGTCATCTGACCATGCACATTGTGATCCTGGTCATGTAAAATATATGTGGAAACAATTAAATTGACTTGAGGTCAATCCAGAACTCTGTTATCTTTGTTTGAAAAATGTCTAAAAAATGCAAAAAGTTTTGTCACTTCCTGTTTCGTCATTTCCTGTTAACTTCCATGATACCTTAAAAGTGTAATATATAATTTCTTTAATACCTATCTCATCTACCTAATTTTCAAGTGAATGAACCAGAACCTTTGGATGATAATATGAGTATCAAGTTTGTTACACAAAACTGGTAATTCGTAATACCATGGATGATCTTAGAATGTGTCCAATTTTCAGAAATCAACATTGAGCCGAATTTATATTTTGATTTCGATGAGAAATATAGAAAGAAATTCGTCAAACAAATGTATAATTTAACATTGTAATTGAAAAATGAAGAATATGAGGCAATTAAAGTAATACACCTAGTAAATAACAGATAACTGGAATTCTTGGCCTTTGAGAAAGAACACCTCAAACGCTGTTCAATTAGATTAAAATGTGATTTCAGACTCATATTTTTAATAATCAATTGGAAGATCTAGGAAGAAAGGATAATTGATACACACCTGAATTGAAAAAAGACCAGCTTACACTTATCTTGTGTGGTTTTCAAAAATGTGGATATGCGAACATCTGAAAGCAATGTGAATGATAGCACTGAACGCTGCTCAAAGATATCACTCGGAAGGTGCAGCCATACCTTAAGATTGCTTCGAGGTTGCCGGGAAACCTCCTCATTAATTGGCTAAGCCTCTACACTCACAAAATGCAGCTTAACAAGGAGGTAATTAAAATAATTTGATAGGTTCAAGAAATAGGTGTAACCGTTTGGCGGACACGACATTACATTTTCTTTTCATTCTAAAGAGTGAACACTTTTGATTGACCACAACAATAGTCTACAAGAAAAATATTGAATATTACACAGGGTGGTCTAAAAACGGCAACCCTAATTTTTTCTCATAACTTTGTCATATTTAAGAATTTTGGCTTGATATTTCATTCAGTTTCATAGTAGAATGTGTTATTTCATGAACATTAGAGTGATAGTCGCAGTATTACAGTACTTTAAACAAGGTGCCCAAGTTTTCCAATATTGTGCTGTAGGCAAACCTGCACACATTTTCCAACCAGACCTGTTAATGACATAACTGCATTCCTCAGCAAGTATGGCCTGAACGACACATGTGATCTTTATTTTGAGGTCAAATGTATTTCTGGTGTTATTACCCTACACTCTATCTTTGTGGTATCCCCACTGGTAAAAATTAAATGGGGCCATATCTGGGCTATGGGGTGCCCATTCATTGTCTGTTGTACTGCTGATAATGTGGTCATTGAAGTGGTCCCAAAGCCATTATTGTGCATCATTGGATGTATGGGGTATGGTCTTGTTTGAACCACTGTTGCTGCCAATCAACCCCCTAGGTTCACCTAAAGTCCCCAATAACTCCAAGGGAATCACAAAATAGAGTTTGATGTTGACAATTATTGCATATCCGTTGGTATCATCAAAGTTAAAGGACCCTATCTTCTGAGAACACACTAAACTATGAATCTGTATGTGTGAAGGTGCCTCTCCACTACTTCATTAAGTACTTGGCTCCCCAAGAATACATAATTGTTAGAGTTTACCAGTGCATCAAGTTGGAAATGGAGTTCATTTGAATAACAGTCCAGCTCAGACAGCCTAAAAGTGGCCATCTGGGGCATGTTGCTTAAAATGCAGTTATATTGTGACTATCAGTCCAATGGTTATGAAATATGGCAGGTTAGTAGGAAATTGAATGATGTACAAATGTGTAAAATATCAGGGAGTTGTATTTCAGAATGACAAAGATATTAAGAAAAACTAGGGTTGCCGTTTTTTGACCACTCCTGTATTTAACAAAGGAGCATGGAAAGTATTGCAACAGATTTTCAGACAGTTATATATTAGATTTTGTCTGTTTCCTGAGGATTTAAACAGGCGAATATGTTAGGTAAATGCATTACCTACAGGAAAAGTACTTACGGAGATAGACTAAGATGTATCCTGGCTTATTAGATACCATATAGCAAGGCGTGTTCAAAATATATAGATTTTAAATCAAGACCTTTCTTGGATTTGTTGTGAACCATAATTTTCTGCGGATGACCATTGTGAATTATTGTGTTTTATGATTTATGGCAACGGCTTTTCGAATGGATGTTGACTCTTTGAATCGCCTTCGAATTTGCCTTTGAAATTGACTTCGGGACTGGATTTCATCTATCCCACATCATTTGAGACTGAATGCTTTATCTCTTATGAGATCTAGTATTTACAACTTGATTATGAGCATTGGCGACCAATTCTTTCTTCAACATGTATTGTGACTTCGGTATGAATGAAATGTCCCTTGGTGCTCTGGTCCTTGATTATGATATTGGCTCTTATGTTAGATACCATCTCTTTTCACGTTAGATCATTGGTTTTGGGATATATAAGGTATTTTTCATGACAGATTTAGCATTAGAGTTTGCTTTCTTGCTATGTTTCTTCTCTTCACCTTGGAGCTTGTGCTTAGATATTCATCATTTTAGACTGGATTTTCGGACTTTTTATTGCAATTTCAATAATGTATGGCATCATATATCTTTGAGATTCACATAAGTACACGTTGGTGCTCTATTCTTGACTCAACTAATCATATGGATCAACAAAAGGGGTTTTACTTGTAGAGTGACAAAAAACGTTCATGAATTTTGATGATTATACTGCTTCGAACAGCTTTTCCTAATTGCTTCAAACGTCAACAGTTAGCCAAGTATAACATGAATACCACATTCATTGAATGGTATACATTTAATTTTTTGTTTGTTATTTTATCAAAAAAAGTTGTCACCCTAAGTGAAGATGTAATCGAGGGTGCTCTTATTTTTAATATGCTTAAATATTTAAAAAGCACCTAAAAATGACATTATGTCATTGGAATAGTATGCCATTTGTTTAATCATAGTAATGCTGTTAATGTTTTATTTATTTATTAATTCATTTTCAAGTCAACCCTTATAGAGTATATGCAAAAAAACAAACTTAACTTCAACAGTGACTAACATCAAAAAAAACATTTATACATGTACATTTTTGCCCAGTCTCGATTAACAATTTAAAACGTTTTATTGGTATATTTTCGTTTGAATTTGTCAGCGATTTTTCAAACTTCTGTATGCTATTTGGTCTTGTGGAATAACAATTAGAAAAATATAATTGGTTTTTGCACTGTTTTGCATTGTTTCATTTGAAAAATGGCCGGATATTTGAATATTTGAGAAATAAAAAGGTTTTCTATCAAAAATGATATTTTCAAAATCTCTAGAATAAGTTTCAGTAATGTAAAAATAATAAATGTATATTAGAAACATATATTTTATCTATATTTTTATTTATCATAAACAATTCTCAATTCTAATTCATAAATTATTTGATATCCAATCCAAATATTTCATTTTGTAAATAAGAAATATAACTATTATCTCTGTAAGTTTCATTATAACATCATTTGGCAATGTCGCTTCACCTGATCAAGGTAGGCTCCTGTGAAGTCTCTACCAGGGGAGCATGGTGCTCGTCGAAGAATTCGACACTCTTTAATCGCAACGAAATCCGGAACATCTCCTGATGCGTGCGCTGAAGCATGATCCCCAGTTTGTAAGAAGTAAATCCCACTGTCTAAAGTTTACCCCATATTCTCCTGTAACGTTTGTAAACCCGAGAACCTGAAGATATGATTAATAAGCATCGTGTTGAAATCAATATATGGTTTTGAATGATACTATTCACAGTTTATATTTTAGATATCAATCATATATACTGCATTATCATTCATTTGATCTACCTTGTAGCACTAATCCTTTGTTTATGCTTTGTCATTGTGGTACGTAGCTAGTGAGGACAACGTGGACACATTCACAATTCCAAAATATGAGTACACAAGATAGAGGGCAAACAACCCCCAACTTTCCCAAATCACGATCACATTAGAAAAGAGGTAGTGTCTTATACCCCATCCATACAAGAATCCACCATTCAAGTACCAATATCACAATCCGAGACCATCAAGGGGCATTAAAATCATAAGTTATTACTATACACGTTGCGAGAATAAATTCCAAAAAACTATAGCCAATACTCAAAACATCAAAAATAGTTCTTAAAGTCATCTTTATAAACAGTATTTGCCCTTCAAACGTTATTTGAGAATATTTATCATCATACCAAATAAAAATAATATACCTACAGAGCATATATTGTATAATAAGGTATCTTGATAATCACAAGTAAATTGCGTTCAAAAGGTTGTGCTTATTATTATCATGTATGAAATGTACCATCCTTTTTGCTGATGATCTAAATATCTAAATATCGTAAGAAAAATGACAGCTTTAATCTTATACGAAACAACACGTGATTATGCTCTTATCCAATGAAAGATTGAGGTATGTGTTTTACATAACCACAGGAGGTGAACCATACGTTTGCTGTGATTTTATTTAGTAAATCATTACATTGGTGCGCTATAACAGTTGGTAATTTGTAATTTCATTCAAAAGCATCAGTTGAGGCAATAATACGTCAAATATATCTTTCGATCTGTTTTGTTTGTATGATTAAAGGCTAATATTTCAAAAAGTATTCATTGTTTCTGTAGCTGTGAATGTTGACTCAAACACATCCGGTTGGTATATATCGTTACGGCATTGTAATCTTTATTTGTATACATGTCAATGTCCCAAAATATGATGATGTCTTCCGCCATTTATTCCTATATAACCACCCCCCTTTACGGCAACTTTATGCTGATCGACACAATGAAGAGTAGAAGCATCTTAACAGCGGCTCTAGCCATAGCGCTGGTAGTACTGGGTAAGTAAGCATAGTTTTATATAGACGTCTGAACAGCCATTTGTGAATAATACTGTAATATATATATATAACTATTCTTCTCTAAAATCAATCTATGGCTAAATTCAAGGTTTCTTTCATCAAAGACTTAGATGTAGATATTTGAGATGTCAGGCAATCCGCCTCAAGAAAGTAGTCTCACTTTTCTAGGAGGGTGAGCTCAGGTGCAAAAACAGCTGATCCAATATTATTTTCTCATCGTAAAATGTTACTAGGCTTCCATTTTTAACACAGTTTTGACAGAAAGTCATGCCGTAAATGAAACAGATTTCTCTGTTAATCGGATTTGGCTTTATAGTGAAATGGTAACAAGTTTGTACTTTTTTTCCCATAGGTTCACATTCCACTGATGGAATACATTTTGAACCGCAATTTTTTCAATTATTTTTTTACATGGAACTTAAACCATATTTGGTGTTTCCTAAGGTTTTACTTTTTAGATGAAATGATTGAAAGTATATGAACTGATTTTTTGACAATATGTTTAATAATATTTCATAACCTCAATTTATTTTAATATAACAGGAAATTTAAAACTGCTCTTTTATCAAATTTATTAGTTAGTTGCATTGACAGTTTCTTGTGCTTGTTATTTTTTAATCAGATTTAGTGATATTATACGATACGTATATAAATCTGTTCGTCGAGAAGTATTGTTCCTACGTACACAATAGGAATCTAGAAGAAGCACATATCAATTTAGTGTCTTTCCATTTGTTTGAAATTGAAAAAATGTTTAGCTAAACATTTGGTTTATCAGCACGTTTATAAGCATTGAATATCCAAGTCAAAATACATGTACACGTGTATGGTGTAGGCATTTAGAAAAATGTTTCCTTCGGCGAAGGTACACATAACAAGTAAACAGAGGAAAATAAACGATGTGAGTTCGTTTGAACTGAATAATGAAATGAAACTTTAGAAATGAAATGAAACTTTAAAAAACTACATTTCATATACATTGACACTAATATGATTAAAAATGAAGCAAAATGTTAACGACATAATTTGTTTTAGTATTATTTCTCTAAAGCTTGCCCTTAATCATTACGTTTTAATTTGTTAAAAGCCAAGTAAATTAATATGTTTTCTTCACCATAAAATTAAAGTAGATTTGAAATACATGTAGATCGAGAAAATCGAGTGAAATCAAGTCAGCATTTAACATCCGGTCTTTTTGCATTTGACTGGTATATTTACTTATCTCTACGGAGACTTAACAAATATAAAACGTTGGCTACATTTATCTGTATTAAACTGGTTTCTCTGTCGTCATTTTTTCAACGACTCACCCGTGTTACCAAAATTATGAATGCACAATATGCATTTTGACAAATTATAGATAAGAACGCTAGAAATATTCTCATGGGCATAGTTCAATAAATGCTGTCAATCGGCACACAGCTTTCACTCTTCAAAAATGTCAACTTGATTGCCTTATATAATTTCATGAAATTAAAAACATTTGCATCAGTGTTGCGACTGCATTGTTCAATTGCAATGAGTCAAATAAGAATTACAATTTTTTATTGCTTGTATCTTTTGAATTTATATTTAATGGGACTTCATGTGAGTTTTTGGGAACTTATTCCCAAGCGGGATAGATACAATCCCCTCCATAAATTCGGCAACCTTAGCTCCCCCATTGAACTACGTGTTAAAGCCTCTTTACGTTTGAATTTTTATTTACTTAACTTGCGATGAAAATACTTATAATATTGATGGAAACGTATCTTGACTTTATTTTCAAAACCTCAACATTTTCTCAATGTTTTCCCCAATGACAATAGGTCGAAAATTGATGATAAATTTGATGTATTTTTGAAAATAGACATCCCCGTGTTAACCAATGAGAAATGGTAGGTTTGCCGCAAGTCATATGACAAAATATCCATCGATCCGAGACCTTGCAAAAAAATACGAGTTAGGCAGACAATTGAATTTGCTAACTTTAGTTAACAAAAAAGTGACATGTTTCTTCAGGTTTAACAAAGTTATAGGTCTTTAAAATCAAAATTGTTTTTCAAAACCCTATCCCATTGAAATATAACAGAGGGCGAAAATGATTTTCAAAAATGACTTTGTACCTCTGTAACTTTAGTTTTCATCGAGTAAACTAAAGACTTATTTAAAATATCGTATGTTGTAATTGAGGAAAAAATTGGGAAATTTTTGAGGTATTGGAAATAAAGTCAAGTTACGTTTCCATCAATATTATAGGTCATTTCATCGCCGGTTAAGTAAATAAAAATTCAAACGTAAAGGGGTTTAAATACGTCGTTCAATAGGGGAGCTAAGGTTGCCAAACCTATGGAGTGGTTTAAACGTCACCATGTGATACGGGGAGACATATTGAATCTCGTGGGTCACCTGTGAATATAAATGCATGCGAGCTTTTTTTTTATTTTACTTGCCAAATGCTTTTCATCGTATTCGGATCATTTACTTGGTAGAACACATAACTCAATGAAAAAATATAATAGTGAAATATTTCGATAATCTTGTACGTTTATTAATTAAAAAGCCTATCTAATTGGACTCCCCTGATATTTCAGGTATATACGACCCATCCTATATATGGTTTAGGACAAAGGTAACTTCATATGTAAACATCTTTGATGCATTCAGTATTTGATTTCGGTAAATGCATATTTACATGATAATGGGAAAGACACTTCATTAGACCAGTTGTTCAAAATCATTTATGAAAATAACATAGAACTTGCCATTTTGTGGATTTACCTTAATTGCTGAATTAAAGCTTCTTCATGTTTTTAAACAGTTTTTGTGAACATTTGGAATATCAACGCTATGATAATTATCCATCGTGCTGTAACCACAAGGTCATGAGTTCGGGATGTGTGATAGAAAATGTCAACTTGATTGCCTTAATATAAGTTCATGAAATTAAAAACATTTGCATCAGTGTTGCGACTGCATTGTTTAATTGCAATGAGTCAAATAAGAACTACAATTTTTTATTGCTTGTGTCTTTTGAATTTATATTTAACGGGAATTTTTGGGAACTTATTCCCAAGCGAGGTAGATACAATCCCCTCCATAAATTCGGCAACCTTAGCTCCCCCATTGAACTACGTGTTAACGCCTCTTTACGTTTGAATTTTTATTTACTTAACTTGCGATGAAAATACTTTATAATATAATATTGATGGAAACGTATCTTGACTTTATTTTCAAAACCTCAAAATTTTAGGTCGAAAATTGATGATAAATTTGATGTATTTTTGAAAATAGACATTTCCATGTTAACCAATGAGAAATGGTAGGTTTGCCGCAAGTCATATGACAGAATATCCATCCATCCGAGACCTTGCAAAAATACAATTTAGGTACACAATTGAATTTGATAACTTTATTTAACAAAAATTGATTTGGGCGAAAATGATTTTCAAAAATGACTTTGTACCTCTGTAACTTTAGTTTTCATCGAGTAAACTAAAGACTTAATGAAAATATTGTATGTTGTAATTGGGGAAAAAATTGGGAAATTTTTGAGGTATTGGAAATAAAGTGAAGTTACGTTTCCATCAATATTATAGGTCATTTCATCGCCGGTTAAGTAAATGAAAAATTCAAACGTAAAGGGGTTTAAATACGTCGTTCAATAGGGGAGCTAAGGTTGCAAACGCTATGATAATTATCCACCGTGCTGTAACCACACGGTCTTGAGTTTGGGACGTGTGATCTCCTTGTCTTTATTTATCTGTATATCTGTACACAGCCAATATAATTCGGCGCCGTTCCGGCATCGAAAAAATTCGGCGCTGTTCCGGCACCGTTTCGACACCGTTCCGGCACCGAAACCTTTTGACACCAAAATTTGCTACCGGACTAGTCAGTCCATTTACAAATTGTCATTTGTACATCTTGAAATATTAATGTTCAAGTCAATTCAAGTTGGATTTACAAGCACTGATTGTTCCGTCGATTTCAATGAGTTTTAGCCATACCTGCTATCTTTGAAAGCGCATGCATTAAGCTCTAGAAAATTGTTACCTTGATTTTAATTTTTTATCAAAGTAATAGGTTATTGTTTGAGGATAACATTCCTGGTTCTAAAACCATATTTTGGTAGAAAATAAACACTCTGTGAAACATTTACAGCCCCTTGGTCACTTTGACCTCTGTCTATTGACATTTTTAATATGCTATGCACTTGAATTGTAGGTAACATATTGTTTTTATGTGAATTTGTCTAAGCAGTTCTGAAGACCCAACTTGTGAAAAAAACATAGATTATATAATTATTATCATTTACATCCAACACGAAATAGTATTGCTCAATTCAAAGATTTAGGAAATATCACAAAACAGAGAATTATCGTCTTGAAGTACCTCTTGACAAAACAACTTTCGCCCAGTTGTGTGTAAATGTGTTTATGAATATATGTGAGCCAAGAGAAAAGGCCAAATAAATTGTAATGCGTATACATATTACCTCTGGTACGTCTGGGCGTTAACACCTGTTCTCTCAAGTCAGATTAGCCAGTGACAAAACTTTTTATTCTATATTGCCGATGATCTCGAGTGTTGAACACGTTGAGCTAGGCGCTTATGCCGTATCCAAGATGTCGTCTGTTCGAAACCCTTGAGCTCCCTGCGTTTATTCATGAAATAAATTGTTCGTATTGTGATGCGTTGTCATTTTGATATTGATTCTTTCTGAATTCTCGACAAATGAAAATACATACATATCGTGTTTTGCTTCACATTACATGTTTCGATATGTATGCTTAAGTATTGATAATATAAATGTTGATGTATTATAGTTTCTGAGAGCTATGCCCACAGGGATAGGAAAGGTAGGAAAGGTGGGAAAGGTCGCGATCCGCCGCCTCAACAGCCCCCAATTGCCCAACGTCCTGTTATTGGAAGAAGTGAGTAAATACATTGGAGAGCACGTATCATTCACGTATCAATAAATCCGATTATTATAATTTATATGAGTTGTGTGTTACTTTGATATGCTATTGATATTGAATATAATGAAAACAATCAAACGAATCACAGATTCAATACAAGCATCTTTTTCAATGTTATTACTTATCTTCTTACAAAACAGAATGTATATGGAGTGACTATGGTGATGAGGAATATGGGAAATGTTCTGTTAGTTGTGGGGGAGGCACACAACAAGTGATGCGTTACAGGTACAAGTTATACGGTGATGCAGAGACCGGGAATCTAGAATGTATTGGTTCAAGCTTCATGTATGTGAGAACCCAATCGTGTAATACTCAGTCATGTCCAGGCCCTCAAACTACTCCAAAAAAGATCATTCCACCTGGACCAGGCCCTCAGCCGCCTCGACCTCAACCGATTGTCCCACCTCCTGTCCCAGGGAGAAGTGAGTAACCAGTTTGATTAAATGTATAAATAACAAATATATAATTAATTTTGGCAATGACGTAATTGTTTAGAAAGTCTTGTTTATGCTAGCGATAAACAGATGAGATTATATACTCGCAGTTACTATCATATAATATTGTTTCCACACAGAATGTAGATGGAGTAACTACGGACGAGAGAAATTTGGCCCATGTTCTGTAAGTTGTGGAGGCGGCACACTTAGAGTGACACGTAAAAGGAACAAGCTATACGGTATTGCAGAAACCGGGGATCCAGAATGTTACGGTTCGGACACAGAAGTTATTAGAACACAATCATGTAACACTCGGCCGTGTCGAGGTGAGTAACCAGTTCAATTAAATATACGCACTGATACAGTGATCGTTATTATGAATTTGGTATTACATAATAGAATAGTTTCTAAATAGCAGAAAAACAATGAAATCTAGTGCTGCCATCTTTTATTCAGCTTTTTGGCTAAAGTTTGATCCACTTACATGCTAAAATCTTGGAAAAGTGGCTTAATTTCATGATTTATCAAAGAGTGTTAGTTGAATCTGTATAAAACTTGAATGATATACCATATGAGGACCCTGTTTATGTACACGTTGTGATTCAACATGCAAATGTTGGTTGACATAGAATTTTAGCATTTCATGTATGGAGATTTAGCCCAAGTTTTTTAAATTGTCATAGAAAATTATTCAAATTACATAACTGTGTAAATCAAAGCTATTATAGAAGAAAATATTTCACTGAATTCAGATATGCCATTTAAAAGAAGGTAATGTAAGGTTTAATATGCAAATCTCTTAAAGTGTGCGCCAAAGTTTAATACTGCGCAGGCGCAGCGTTCTCGCTTAACTATATAAAGATATCACCGGGTACATGATTCAGAGGTAAGCAAGGAAGGCGAACAATCTTCGTCTCGTGATGATTTACCGTATAATCGTAACCAGGGAAGTTTCACCATTGAAATTGAAAATTACTATTAGATGTAGTTTGTAGATGTTATTTATGAAGCTATTTAGTGTATGTATCAATCAAATGGCTCATTTTGGACATATAAAAAGTATTTGTCTTTTGTTTCCCCTGAAATCGTATTCCCACACATAAATAGTGTACATTATGTAGTACATATTGAATAGCCTGGTATAGTAACACCGTGTTTATATAATATTGAAGGGCATGCTGATTGTACACACGAGTACATGCATGCAAGAAGGCCTAATTTTATATAGCTTGCATACCTAAATAAAAAATAAACCCTTCTAATCCCCTTATGTAAATACGGCGGTATACGTAGCCCGATTTATCGGAATCTTTAAAATCTCACAAAAATGAGATTAAGCTTTTCAAAAGCTATATGGAAACTACACTATTGCTAAGGATGGTGTTTTAGCAATAATGACAGATTGAAGAATAGAGCGATTTCGGTAAAGTTCTCATTTCAAATTCGTATTTAAGTATATTTGAAATCTTAAGGGTCTTGTCACAATAAATCAATTTGAAATCGATATTCATGAACTCTATCAAGTTTACACAATAGCTCCAAGTTGTAAAGCTCATTCATCAATGCATGACGGCGGATGTAATATCGTTGCATCGTTGTTATTTGTACAGTATCAACTTAATACCTAGCTTTTGTGGCGTGGTGTGCTCCCAACATGTGAATAATTCCACAGTTCCTGTTAAAGTTTAAGTTGAGATATAAGTTTAGAACGTATAAAAGGCATATGTACGTGCGATGATTGTTAACTTTTAAAATTAGATCTCCGAGTAGACCCTGAATTATATTCAGAGTATCCAATCAAACACTTTTACTTCCATTTTGATACACTAATCAATCCAATCTATGTTGGAGATTTATAGAGCGGGCCATTTTGATGCATAATAAACTCAAATCCAGTTTTTTACAGGGTGTTCCATAATATTCATCATCGAAGATAGTCCTCTAATGTATGAGTTTTGACGAAAAGTTTTAACATACGCAGAAGTCCCATTTTCGTAGTACCATATTGACTGAATAGTTTTGGATATTGTTTATAACAATAACAGACTCATGAATAAAAGCATCTATACCAGTGCTTATATCAAAATGTATACACTATTTTTTCAACACAGGGTGTAGATGGAGTAACTATGGCTCAGCAACATTTGGTCCATGTTCTTCACGTTGTGGAGGTGGCGTATTAACGGTTACACGTACTAGGACCAAGATATGGGGTCCAAGTGGGGATCCAGATTGCTATGGTTCTAACACTGATGTGAGAACACAGTCATGTAACATGCAGCCGTGTCAGCCCGTAATCATCCCACAACCACGACCCGTTCCGCAGCCTATAGTCATTCCGCAGCCAATCCCAGTTGTCCCGCATCCAATCCCAGTTGTCCCGCATCCAATCCCAGTTGTCCCGCGTCCAATCATACATCAAAGTAAGGAACTAGTTGATTAACATTTATCCATAATAATTCGGATAATAATCATCTCTAGGGGCTGATTTATAATTGTCATTGCACGTTAGATAACTTATAAAAATGTGATTACATATGAAAGATCAAAAAGAATTCAAATGTTTTATTTATTGTGGTCAAAGTTGTGTCCGGTGCTTCAACAATTTTTTCATTATGGCATCGTTTAAAACAAAGTTCCTATCTTAATCTTAAATGTTATTCTATTTCATCATATGTGAACCACATTACATATTTTAGAATATATGCGTGATCCTTTATTTAGTTAATGACATTTATCTGGTTATGGTCTACATATACTCATTTACTGAATGTATGGCGTACTTTTTATAGATAATAGGGCAATCAAGCTTGCATATAAAATCGAAACGCCAACATATGACCAATCGCCCATACAAATGCATCGCTTAAATATTTTCCGTTCACGTTTTGGTTGTGAAAAACTCCTTAATATTTAGATTATTGATGACATTGCAATTCATCATTCCAAATAATATATTATTGTATTATAAGATTGCCAATGGGGACCATGGACGAGATGGCAACTACTGGAACCATGTTTCACGTTCGATCAACGATGTGGAGTTGCGATGAGTCGACGATCACGCCGGTGCTATTGTAATGGGATTGAAGTGGATCCTCGACACTGTACTGGTATTGCAGTAGAACAAACCACGAGACCTTGCTGCGTCGACCATCCTGGACCTCAACCACCTCGTAAGTAGACATCTAACTCGCAAGTCATCAAATATAGAATAAACGATTTGCAAAATTTTGCGGTAACGATAACAAAAAACTGCGGATGGGATAGACAGCATGTCCTCTTTCTCGTCTATAGACAAGATTCACAGATGAGATTTCCGCTTCAAATAGTTCCATTCGGTAACGTATAATGGTTATAAAGTCTGGGTGAAATCTGCCGAGTGGCTTGCTAGAAGCAGAATATAAGCTGTAAACTTACCGACTGAGATATTCAAGTTCATAATTTTTAGTCCATTCTCGTGTTTTCTCAATATCTGTGCCTCATAGCCACACAAACTATTTACTGTAAGTAAATTGTGTATAAACAAGCCATAAAATGACAAATCCAGAACAGGAATGTGGTGTTTATTGTAAATAATAAGGTTTCAAACGCAATGTTGTTAGACGACTACGTAGATTACTAAACTTGGTGTAGTTTTGAATTTCAAACTCAACAGTATCTCGATTATTTCATGTTATCCCCGGGCATCAATTCGCAAAGACTACGTTCAAAATATACATTACTAAATGCATCACCGAAGGCAATGCTTACATAAATCGTTCATCCTTTCATTGATACACAGTAGTAGAAAATAATGCACCAACCCTAGTTTTCTGTTCCATCGCGGCCATTTTATTGGATGGATCAGTGAACGTAGCCGTCCAACCTTGTCGTAACCATCATGCTATAGCAGGGTGATACTGTTATAAACAAACCATTGTTCTTCTTCCCTTCATATGCATCCTCCTTTAAAATATGTCTTTAAAATGATTGTATGAGATTCGTTTAGCTAAATGTGTTTAGTTTAACATTTTTCTATCAGCTTTCTTCGCCACTTTTATGACAAGCTATGATATTAACAATGTGAACATTTGCTAATGAGTGTAAATGTTTTCGAAAACAATTTCACTTACAATAATGGGCCGTGTGGGTTCACAACCACGTTGTTAATTTTTGGAATTCATTGATTTGATAGATTAATCATTTTTTCATTCTTCGTGTGCATAAGTTATAAGAATATCTTGCTCTAGCCCCTCGTGTGCCCATGTGGTGTCCCGCCCTATACCCTAAGTATTTATGTGGTGGCGAACGGTGAGCCCGAACGGCCTAATGTGACAGCTCCATTAAATAAAACTATTTGCAAAATTGTTAAAATATGTTACGTAAGACAATTTCCTCACTTCCTCACTCCCATTATTGTAATATAAATGTATGTATTGATGACACCAAGTCCCATACTTTTGATCTTTAGAATACGTGTTAGCTCCTATTATTAAAAACCCATAACTTACTGATACCCATGGCCTTATATCATACGGTTGTTGCAAACTTTGGTCATAAAACATGAACGCTTTTCAACGAATATGTTTATTTATTAGCAGACGAAGATTTCGGTAGAAGCGAAAGCATAATTTATGTGTATACGTAAAGAGTATAAGTGAATTGAAATTGGGATTTTGCAACAATATGCACTAATACGTATAGAAACAATTTTAATTTAATTTGTTTCACCAAAATTAAATATTTCCCCTTCCAAATTCCTTATGTATAAGATGGTTTTGATAATGTGACTATTATATGACTTCATGCCAAGTCTAGTATTATTATGATTCCTGCCAATACCTACTGTATATCTAAACGATAAAGGGTTTACTGACTTGTAAACACCATGATATAGGCGATTGCTTCTTTTGAAAAGCTATGCAACCAATGACAAATGATATCATAATAGTTATAGACTCCCTTTAAAAGTTATAACATAAAGGATTTATAAACACTCTACAAGTGTTCTGCGAAATCTCTATGTATTCATAAAGTATAAGGATGAGCTAGCTAAGTTGGAGACAGCTAAGTAAATATGCATATATTCATAGACTATAGACCAACGTTTAATTGTTGCAATTGGGAACTATAACATGACATACTGTAATCAAGCATGAACCATCGTTTATTTATTTCCTAGAACCAGGCTGTGGCATATGGGGAAAGTGGATGGATGTTCCTGGAAAATGTAATCCACCAGCAGATTGTACACCACTTGTTCCAGTGGGTAAGAAACGAGAGACATGTGTCATCACGACATACAAATGCCAAGTAGTAAGGCAGTGTACACCATGTCCAGGAATACCAAAAGGTTGCATAGGAGTCGCATTCAAAACAGAAGATCGCCAATGTTGCAAAACAGGTATGGTGGAAGAATAATTTACTGTAGCTATTATCAGAGGTGCAAGGGTTATCAGAACAGAAAATCACATATGTTGCAAACAGCTATAGTGGTAGAATAATTTACTATAGCTAGTATCAGAGGAAGGGTTATCGAAACAGAAGATCGCACATGTAGTAAAGCAGATATAGTGGTAGAGTTATTTATTATAGCTAGTATCAGAGGTACAAGGGTTATCAAAACAGAAGATCGCATATGTTGCGAAGCAGATATTGTGTTAGGATGATGATTATCTATAGCTAGTATCGGAGGCTCAAGGGATATCAAAACAGAAGATCGCTTATGGTTTAAAACGGGTATGGTTGTATACTTATTTACTATAACTATTATCAGAAGTATAAACATGGCGTAGAATAATGGAAATAACGTCACAACACATGCGCGTAAATTGACATTTCATGGTCCAAAGATTTCAATGGAGAGCAGTCTTCATCAAAATTTAAAATCTTAATAACTTTTTAGCAAATAATTTATTTTCTTAGGATTCAACGGATCCTTGTTAGACTCAACGAAGTGTTCATTTTGATATATAAAACAGCAAAATCCATCCACAGATCTTTCGGCTTTTTAATGATTTAATTTTTGGGATATTTTGCTAAAATCCCCCATTGGCTGCCATTACAAACTTTGAAAAAACTCAAATCCTCATCATTTCATATCATTCGTTAAGTGGTCTAAACAACTCCAATCGCTTAGGATTCAACGGATTCTAAGAGATCAAAGCTAATACAATATGTTGACAACCCCCGTTTCAATATTTGCCGCATAATCTTTCGGCCTTTTAGGTTATAAATTTGTCAATATTTTGATTTTCGACGTACTTGGATCCTAGATTCATTGTCCCGGTGTAAAAGGGTAGGAGGTCCTATCAAATTATGGTCCTACTCTCCATTGATTTATATGGTGACCTAAATACAACTCTTTCCCTCATTATCTTATACACAATCAGGGCCAGTAAGGGCCGTTAAGAAAGGGGACCATAATCCCTGGGGGATCATCATTTCTTTCACACCTGGGCAGTTCTAGAGGTTTTAGTGCTAGTTTAGAAGGCGTTCATTTTACTATATCGACCTGAGAAATATGTGACGTCATAGTGGTGGTCCATATGGACCGGTCTAGAATATACTAGTATTCTGGACCGGCAATTTTCCCCGGGAAATTAGATATCGTTCAGTGCGTAAGATTTTCTTGCTATTTCAGCCCTGGTCGTTAACGGTGGTAATAATACTAATAATAATAACGTCATTTCTGCGAGCAATATAGTGAAATATTGGACCTTGGGCCTTCGGCCCTCGGTCCAATATTTCACTATAATGCCCTTAGAAATGACGTTATTGTACTATTATAGCTAGTATAAGATGTCCAAGGGTTATTAAAACAGAATATCGCACATGTTGCAAAACAGGCATGGTGGTAGGATTATTAGTTAAGAGTAAAGGTCAAAATTACAAAATTGCAATGATCACTCGTGATATTCAATGCTATGCAATATATGCCCTAAAAAGCAGAATATAAGTTTTTGAAGAGTTGAAAAGTTTTTATCAAAAATTTTGCATCGGGGAATTTGAGGACATTATACAGTGTATCTATTTCATCAATATTCGTAACATTAATATCTTCGGTCACGGTGTAAGTTAAACCGAACATAAACAAAATCAGTTACAACAAATGGTACCTACTATCCCACATATAATTGACTGTCTTACACAACAAATATGTAAGATGCTTCAAAACTGTATTCGACCCGATCAAATATAAATTTGATAAGTATTTTAAATATATGCGATGCCAAGTACCATTCGTGTTGGGTAAACATATTCATTTGTGGTAAACATATTCATTTGTGGGGTAAGTCACGTGACTTACCGAATGATTTTATATAAACCAATGTTCATATTATGGACTTTTTCTGCATCTTTATTCGATTTTCACATTTTTGTATTTGATTACAACCATTCGATATTCCACTCTATTAAAATAATTCGAAACACGTAATAAATTTGTTTGTTTTTTCACATTTATATTTGATTTATGTACCTATATATGCGGTAGATGCACTTGTATATGCGGTTCATGTTATTGAGTGCTTGGTAAAATGTCACATATTTAAGTCCACGTACACACACGAACAAAGACGGTTGACACATATATTAAGAACACGCATCAAATACAAATATACTTTGGAACCAAATAATTTTCATTTACCGAACAATCATAGAGTCCAAAATAGCACGGACATATAGTGACTTGCCCCACATAATTAATTACATGTACTTTCGCATAAAATCACTTGGGGTAAGTCACGTGGCTTACCCCACATAAATGACACATGCAGTAGCATAAAACCATTCGGTAAATCACGTGACCAGTGACGTTGAAATTATTTCAAAATGAATGAAACAAGCGAGGAAAAAGAATTTGAACAAGATTCATATTCACAATTTAGAGAGGAAATTGACGAGTTATTAGATCATTGAAGCATGAGGCTACAGGCGATCCTTTCTTAATAGAAGATACATGTACATGTTCGCAATCGGAGAATCACACCAGAGCTCTTGAATATATAGATAGCGCAGTCACGTGACTTACCCCACATCAAAACAGTGAACAATTATAGTGTATTTATTGCATCAATATTCGTAACATTAATATCTTCGGTTTTTACCCCACGGAGTAAGTTAAACCGAACATAAACAAAACCAGTTACAACAAATGGTACCTACTATCCCACATATACTAGTAATTGATTGCCTTACGCAACAAATATGTAAAATGCTTCAAAACTGTATTCGACCCGATCAAATATATAAATTTGATAAGTATTTTGAATATGTGCGATGCCAAGTACCATTCGTATTGGGTTAACATATTCATTTGTGGTAAACATATTAATTTGTGGGGAAAGTCACGTGACTTACCGAATGCTTTTATAAACCAATGTTCACTGTTTTGATGTGGGGTAAGTCACGTGACTTCGACCATGTGACTTGTGCCATCTATATATTCAAAGAGCTCTGGTGTGATTTTATCGCATCCTACGACCCCTTTAGATTGTGGTCGTACGCGCCAATTATTGGTCAGTCAATGTTTTTACAAAGTTGGAGAAAATACTACGCATTGCACACCTAAATGACCTACCTCGATACATTCCTTAGTATTTTAGAATTCTTTTTATGTAGTTGAATCGCCAATTGTATGGGTTTATCGACAGAACGAAGAGATTTAAGTTTTTACATCGGAAATATATCAGCAATTTTCAAAATGTCGGAAGGGGAATTCCCCAGGGATTTCCCTTATGACTGGTGCATGCCGGGAACTGAATGGAGGAATTTGACGGTTGAAATAAGTTAAATATTACACGCAAATATTGCTATCAAAAACGAAAATTTCTTTGTTTTGCCGATAAACCCACACAATTGTGGATTCAACTACACGGAAAGAATGCTAAAATGCCAAGGAATCTATTGAAATAGGTATCTTAAGTGTAAGAAGCGTAGAAAATTCTCCCATGTTGTAATCGTACAGGCAAAAGAATAAGACGTTCGCAAGACTAGAACGTAGAGATAGTCTTGGAACGAGATAAGTGTGATTCTCCAATCGCGAAAACGTATCTTTTATTAAGAAAGGATCTCTTGTAGCCTCATGCCTGTGATCTAATAACTTCTCAATTTCCTCTCTGAATTGTGAATATGAATCGTATTCAAATTCTTTTTCTTCGCTTGTTTTATCCATTTTGAAATAATTTCTACGTCACTGGTCACGTGATTTACCGAATGGTTTTATGCTACATGCAGCATGTTTAATTTAGTGGGGTAAGTCTTACCCCACATAATTTTATGCGAAAGTACATGTCATTAATTATGTGGGGTAAGTCACTATATGTCCGTGCTATTTTGTACTCTATGATTGTTCGGTAAATGAACATTGTTTGGGTCTAAAGTGTATTTGTATTTGATGCGTGTTCTAAATATATTTGTCAACCGTCTTTGTTCGTGTATGAACATGGACTTAAATATGTGATATTTTACCAAACACTGAACAACATAAACCGCATATACAAGTGCATTTACCGCATATATAGGTACATAAATCAAATATAAATGTGTAAAAACAAACAAATGTATTACGTGATTCGAATTATTTTAATAGAGTGGTATATCGAATGGTTGTAATCAAATACAAAAGTGTGAAAATCGAATAAAGATGCAGAAAAAATTCCATAACATTAGGACAGTATTCCTATAGCTGTTCGATAAAAATAAAAAATATGTCCACATTTATCTCATTCGTCCATTTAAATGGCATTGCATGGGTAATAGACACTTAAACCACACTTAAGTAGCAACACAATAGAATGAACGGTGCTTTATTTTTAAGAATATCCAGCTAAAACAAAGAGCAGTGTATTATTTTTCTATTGTTTTTTAAGAGTCAACACTTGGCTTTTGCTAGCCAAAACCAGTGTGGCATAAAAGACAATTGACCGTCACATGCAATGCACTTACGCTTAACTAATTATACCATATCCACGCCTTCAATAGTTGAAAAACGTTAAACTGTACATGCCGTGTTAAATGCACTGCACTCAAGATGGGCTAATTACAGCCACTCACTTCTGAATAAGCGTACCCAAGTCAATACAAAAAAAAGAAATTCAATTTTCTTTAAATTGGATCTTTTGGTCCAATTTTGGGTTTAAGGAGAAAAAATTGTTTTGTCTAATACCTCGTTGTTTATCCCTAACATAAAAACAGAATGAAGCCAACTCTATAAAATATAAGCTAATTTTCATTGATTTCCTATTACACGATGGATTATTTGTAGGTCCAAAGCCAACAACAAAAAAACAGACAACCCCAAAGAAGACAACCCCAAAGGCGACAACAACAAAACCAGCGACAACAACTAAAAAAGTAGAACAGTGTCCAAAATATACCTGGGGACTATGGGAGGACTGTGATAATCCTGGTTGTTCTCCTTTTCTTGACCACCCTGGTTTTCCACAGAATATAAGACGAAAACGACAGCAGCCTTTTAGTTGCGTTAGCGTAGAGGAAACAATTTGTAAACGCGTTAGCACGGGCTGCACTAATTGTGGCGGCAAAATTTGCCCCAAGGAGCCGCAATTTGAAAGAAAAAAATTGAAATGCTGCAGTAAGAAAACATAAAACTCGAAAATAATTTGATAAATAACATAAACACTTTCATGTTGCTAAGTATAAGATTTCTTAACCGTTGAAATTCATGCTTGAATAATTTTTTTTTGTTTTTGTTTCAGATGTCTAATGATGAACTTGAAACACACGTCCAAACCCCAAACCTGAAACAGTAAAATATGAAACAATTATGATCAACATATCTTATCTAAATTTGATTACGTAATAAAGGCCAATTGATTCTTGCTGCAAAAGAAAAAAATGTGTTTGTATATTGCACAATTATAACCTTACTTTCATGTATTCGAAATTATCCCTTCTGGTCCTTAATTGCTCAAGGAATTGTGTGATATCAGTCACGGATATGTAACACCCCCCCCCCTCCCCCATCCTTTGTTCAAGAAACAGTACCACAATCTAAATCCGCAAAATCAATGAAAACATACCATACACTGAAAAACAAATAAAAAACAATGATGGTCTGAAGGAGCCCAAAGGGGAATGGCTCATAATTCAGCATAGTTTTAACAAGGTGGATACAGGCATGTACCGTGTACGTAATGAGTAAAGCTGTTTTTCAAGATTTAATAATAAGCAATATTTTTAGTATATACCGTATGGTCATGATAGCCATTAAATGTCGTTGATATTAACACACAGGGCACAGGCTTTGATAGAAAAACAGAATTTGACTCTACTTGAAAATATAAATTATGGTAAATTTCCCCACATGCAGTGAATAGCCTCGATTTGTTTATTTTACTCTTATGTGTACAATATGTTGATGTTGTATTTTTGTATACCAGCATGCTGATATATATCATTCTTTTGAAATCTGATTTATAATCTATTTCGCACAATGTTATTTCATGTTCGAAAGGCATGACAAATTCAAAAATTAAATATTCAATCCATACAGTTAATCTGTTGATGAATCAGATTAAAAACACGGGTAAACAAAATCAGAAGGTATTGTGTTCGTCTAGAGCGCTGTACAAACCGAGCTATATTACTTAGTAGCCTGGGCAGAATTGTTTAAGGGTCACTTTTCTTTAATAACTTTTTCAAATGTCAGAATTATCAAAAACGATTATATATTTGAAAACTAAGGTAAAATTCTGACATAACAAATATTTAAGAAACATCTCTTGATTTATTAACATTATAGGCGTTTATATTATGAGTAATGTGAAGGCATAATTCATCATTTTGTCTCATATTTTATCAAAAATGGCAGCATATTTTGTATATTTAATGTTCAATTGAAAGTTAATATTTATGCAATGCCATACGCCTATGAAGTCATTTTTTGCTATTCATTTGTTACCTGTTACCTGTAGTGGTTTAGCAACCCTAGTTAGTTTATATCCAAAGGACACGTGTACGCTTTTGTAGAATTTGTTAAATAAATATAACATACTTTACAAAACTTTTTTTTATACATGGAAAGACGGCTATCTATCGATAAAGAGCTTGTCTAATTGTATATAAAACTAATGACCGATTGCGTAACCATGAGATAATGTTACGCAATGAAAGAGCATACTCCTGGTTATGCAGCCTAATCATTAATCTTGGGAAAAGAGCCCAAAAATAAGTATACTCGTGAACGGGAGATAAATTTAATGAATAAAAATGCTCCGTGAACAATAAGATACGTCGTTCCCCAAAATTGAATGAATGAGGTCTGGTAAAGACGAAGTAAGTGTTAGTATGATGTACATGTAAGTGTTTGCATGCTAATACGGAGAGCACCGTAGAATAGGCATGTTACTGTTAAGCAAACGAGGCGCGAAAGTAAGCAACATGTAAGGATTGAACACAAAATGCAGCACGACTTATCCAAGATTGCATATTGGGGCGCAGCAAATGTGGTCCATCCTATATAGGCACCTTTCTACAGAATATCTCAGTGGAGAAAAAAGTTCGAATGGGTACACCTCGCGTGCACGGTTTACCATTTTGCATGTCATTCCCATCCTTGGAATGCATTTGAATTTTTCCTTAGCTTTACAAGGGCCTTTGAGATGGCTGTTTTGGGCCCTTGTGATTATTTTGGACCCACTCTCATCACTCCCCAAACATAGGGATGCCACTTATAACATCCTCTTGGACACAACCCCGACCATTTCAAAAGAATTCAGTTCATGACCCCCGGAGTATGCCTTCTTGTATTTGAAAATTGGTCAGATGATGCATTACATCAGGATTGTAACCTTAACAGCATGACCCTAGAAACCTATGACAACTTCCAACAGAACATTCAAATTCACGAAAAATGCTGCCATGTTTAAACAAATATGAGAAAAAATGAGACAAAATATTACTCTAGTTTTTAAATATGTAATCCGTTTTTGATTATACTGAAAATTAAAAAAAGTTATTCAAGGAAAAGTGACCCTTGAACAATTTTGTATGGGCTACTCAATAATTTTGCTTGAACACGTTTACAAATATTCATTTATGTATCTTAAAGATACAATAAACAATTTATATATATATGTATATACAGGGTGGTCATAAATGGAAACCCTGCCACTATTTTCCACATATCTCTGTCATTTCAAAAAATACTCCTTGATTTTTTCCATCATTTGTACATCATTCAATCAACAGCCTGTTGGTATCGTTTAAAAGATGTCCAGTAAAAGAAAATGTTATCCGTCCAATATTTAAAAAGATATTTCAGTTTTTGAGATTTTGAAACATGGGGTCTATGGGGAATCAACCCGAACCAGAAGTCACACTTTCAAAACAATTCAAAGTTTATTAAAGTCCCCGTCTAAAGTTTGAAAATATTTTTTATCATTCATTTACTATTTGTCAGGACTTAAAACGTGATTTTAGAGATTTTTGAACAAAAAACATTTTATGAAAAATAAGTTGTGAGCATTTCATTTCTCAAATATTCAAATTTCCCGCCATTTTTCAAAAAAGTTGAAATTTCTTAATCATCAAATATTTCTTAATGCATTTCAAAAAAAGTTTATCTTTTTAACACCAATGCAAAGATTGAACAAGGACACACTATTTCAATAATAAAATACCATAAATATGGGCCACTTCAATGTTTTAGCATATCAAAAATATTTTGAAACATTGGTGATGTCACGAAGGTAGCAAAAACTTTTTGAGAAAAAATGAAATTTTTTTTTCGATGTCAATCTTTTCTAAATATGCTAGACTTTCATAAAAAACAATGTTGATTGTCTAAGATTAAAAGGAAGAATAAATAATGTTTTACATATCATTGTACCATCGGTTTCTATGAGAACTAAAATTTTAAAATGCGTTTTTCTCAGAACCATTTTCATGCATTGATAAGTTCATTTCTCGCTTATTTATAAACCGAATTTCTTTTAAAAAATGGGATGCTATGCATTGGTATGAATTGTGGCTAATTAGAAAATATGAGTGACCTCTAAAAGTTGGTTTTAAATAAATGCACAAATTTCGGAACAAAAAGTCTATCAAAAACCACTTTTTGAAATTTATAAAAAAAAGTTACACATATCACACTTTGATAACACTTGTTAAGACTACAATATAAGCCAAAGTGGTTTAAACTTTATATGGGGCCTTAAACAAATTTCGAAACCATACTTCTAGATGTACTTTTACATTTAGATAGTAGTAGATTTCAAATATGATATCACTTTGACTGAAATTTGAATATGGAATGACGTAAATCAAGATTATTTTTTCTCGCATCTTTCTATTGTAATGGAATAAGGGGCAAGAGTTGGAGTCACGTACTGTAAATAGACTTTTGTACAAAATACCCTATAGTTTATCAATAAATATTTCCAAAGAATTCGGCTTATCCATTGCTAAGAAAATTCCTGTCACGCAGCTCCATTTTTGGGACAAAAATGATACATTCTACTAAAAACAATTGTTTTCATTTGAGTTACATATCTCACACGGGTATATGGTAGGATAATGTAACTTGATATCCTTGGGTAGAAACAACTCCCCGTATTAATCTGACGGGAGCTGGTATCTTTATCCTCGCTAGGACCACCGACAATGCAAGCCAGCACAGGCCTTTTATCGAGTTAGTATCACTCTAGTAATCTACTTCTCTGGTGTACTATAAAGCATAAACTGGCTCCTGTCGCTGCATGCTAGATTGAACCCAGGATCTTTGATCTTCAGCAGTCATATATCGCAACTATAACTTTTTACGATGACGTTTTTGCTGCCCGTTTTGTGAAGCGGTCATAGTAACGAACGTCGCAATTCGTCAATTTATTCATGTATTTACGAATGAGTTGATATGGTTATGAATAAGATTAATTAATTGTAAAATTGAAATTTTGTAATATACTTGGGATGATCATTTTTATGTAGTCGATACTTTCATGAATATGATTGATTAATTGTTTATTGAAATTGAAATTTTGTAAGATACTTGACATGATCATTTTTGTGTGATCGGCTACGAATATGTATGCAAATGTTAAAAGGGAATGGACTAACGATAAGCATTACTAGTATTACAGAACACAGCGAGTAAAAAGAGCATTTAAGAGTAGAACATTCATAAGGAAAACAACAATCCCATATGATCTAACTTGAAAATAAACCATTACTATTACCACTTCCCATAGCATGCAAGTACCATTATCACAATACCAGACAACTAAAACACTAATATGAAATATTAGGTATTGCCGGCGATTTATAAGAATATCACACTTGTGGACATATAGAACTGGGCAATAAATGATGATATCGCTCTATTTAGAAATTTAAGACTGATTATCCAATAGATGGCGATATAAGAAAAAACATGAACAAATCAATAATCTTATATAAAACGTCAACACGTGATTACAATCGCATCCAATCAAAATAGAGATCGGGCGATTTCCACATAAGCACAGGAGGTGACGCATGCGCATGCTGTGTTGCTCTTTAGTAAATCATTATAACGGGGCATAATATATTATTCAATAACAATGGCAATTTTATACTTTTATTCAGTTGAATTAGTTGAAAAAATAGGCCGTCAAATAAATTTTTCGATATGTTCGATTGTGTGTGTTTAAGGACTAATATATCAAAAGTTTTGAATTGTTTCAGTTGCTCTGAATTAAAAACATGAAATACTTTATGTGACACATTGCAACGGTATTGTTATGTATAGTTGCTAACACGTCAAAGTACCAAAAATGTGATTTTTCTTTCGCCCATGCATGTTTGTCCCTATATAACCAATCCCCACCATGACAAGTTTGTGCTTTTTCGACACAATGCATACTGGACGCATCTTTATTGCGGTCCTTGTCATAGGACTGGCACTATTAGGTGAGTTAATATATCTTTTAATGAAATGGTAAAAATACAACCACTTGGAAATAATGATTATACCGCTCTGGTATTTCTTTCTAATATTTACTAGTGTATTGTTTATGTTAAAGCTTTGATATTCATCCAACGATGGCTTTTCTTCGTAGTGCACTTTTTATTTACTTTGCTTTTAATTTAGGTGTTTATTTTAGTTACATGTACCTTTTCTTTGGTCTTTTGTTCATCAGCATGACAAGAATCTTAGAGACCTGAATGACAAATTCAAATTCAGAAATATTACCAAAAGTCAGTCTTAACATTTAAAAATATGTTTAATTGGAAAATAACCAAAGTGAGTTTATTTCGCCCAAATATAAACTTAACCTTGGAACAAAATAGTAATCCCAGCTTTAATGATTATATATCGTCTTTATGTTCCAAAAGTTACACTCCCCTCCATAAGTTTGGCAACCTTTTTCCCCCATTGAACTACGTGTTAAAGCCTCTTTACCTTTGAATTTACTTAATCTTAATTTTATTTACTTAACCTGCGATGAAAATACTTAATACTATTGATGGAAACCTAAATTGACTTTAATTCCAATACCTCCAAATTTTCTCAATTTTTTCCTCATTTACAATAGGTCGAAAATTGATGATGAATTTGAGGAATATTTGAAAATCGACATTCCCATGTTAACCAATGGGAAATAATAGGTTTGCCGCAAGTCATATGACAGAATATCCATCCATCCGAGTCCTTGAAAAAAATACGAGTTAGGCAGGCAATTGAATTTGCTAACTTTATCTAATAAAAATTTGATATGTTTCTTCAGGTTCAACAAAGTTATAGGGCTTTAAAGTCAAAATTGTTTTTCAAAAAACCTCTCCCATTGAAATAACACAGGAGGCGAAAAATTATTTTCAAACATGACTTTGAAGCGCTGTAACTTTAATATTCATCAAATAAACTAAACACTTAGTGTTAAAAAAAAGTTAGACAATTCAATTTTCTATATAAAAATATTTTTTGCTGAATCTTTTACTGAAAAGATATCCTGATTTCTGATTTGCCCCGAACCCTCCATTTCCAATTGGATTATATGGGAATGACGATTTTCAAAAATTCATCAAATTTATCATCAATTTTCGACCTATTGTAATTGAGGAAAAAAATTGAAAAAATTTGGAGGTATTGGAAATAAAGTCAAGTTACGTTTTCATCAATATTATAAGTTATTTCATCGCCGGTTAAGTAAATAAAAATTCAAACGTAAAGAGGCTTTAACACGTAGTTCAATGGGGAAAAAAGGTTGCCAAACTTATGGAGGGGAGTGTATATCGATATTCTTTAAAAAAGAATTATACATAACTGATACTAAGAAAGAACGAATGGAAATATTGATACGTTGAATCTACTTTTACAGCTTTACAGTAATATTTTGAAACATATTCTCAAATGTTTACTTTGATAAAGGTGAACTTTTAAAATTACTTAGTAATATTTTGACAAATAATGCAATAAAATTCCCAAATGGTCGTCAGTTTTGCTTTACATATATAAAACTATAGGTATATGGGTAAATAGCTTAGTATATACAGGAATCAAGGTAACTGGCGTTCTCACTTAGTTATTTCTTGTTAAGACTTTCTAATTAGATTCACAGACTCCTTAATACAAGGGTCGTTCGAAAAGTCTTGCACGACAGCTTCTCAGTACTGCATTGCAAGGCCACGCACATATTTTTTTGGACAAGAGAGTATATCCTTTTTTTAAATTCAACTGATACATTGTTTTTGAATAGTTGATATTCCTATTGATTCGTTATGAATTGTTAACTGATTAAGATTCATTTAAATAGTACAGTATAGTGTACTTATATGTGACATCAGTATTGAAAATATAAAATGTAATTGCATTATAGTTTCTGAGAGTTATGCTGGCAAGGGTGGAGGAAAGGGCAAGAAAAAGATGTGCAAGCCCTGCAAATCCAAATGCAATTATGGAAAACGCTGCAAGAAAATCTGCAATCTGAAACCGGTATGGCTATTTATTGTATTATATTTAAGATTACAATTCGTCTTCTTAATATTGAACATTTAGAAGGATGTTTCTATATTCGATTTGAAAATATATCAAAGATAAAAGAGAATGTACATGTATGACCAATAATTACAATATCATGTTACAATATACAACCTGCCTTTCCTTTGGATCAAACTATTGATTGCAGTAGCTACTTCTCAAATTGGGTAGATACAGAGAATAGGTAATTTCTAACAATTCAAATGAATGCAGGAGTACTTTAACATTGCATATTTAATATGAGGCAAATATGAGCGAGCAATATCAGATGCTCAGCTATCATTAAAGCTGAGATGTCTAAAACTATACTGTTTACAAAATCCGTAGTGTTGAGCGAAATTGTCTACAATTGTATTGTATTGTATTTTGTTTACCACCAATGAAGGTGAGCAATACCTCTTTGATATATCCCGTAATTTACGTAATTAACCTTGAAGATAGACCCAGAAACCCCTCCTTGAAGGAGCCCTGTGTTCTTTTATGTGCACTTATACATAGACATACAAGTACACACCACAGCCTTTTGTACGAGTTGCGGACCACTCAGTCAAACACCCTGAAGTACTTCACGCAAACAAGCAAATTTAGTCTTGCCTGAACTGGGGATCAAATCCGGGACCTATTGCGCAGGAGGTACATGCGCTACCGCTGAGCTACACAGGTGGACTTTACTCAAGAATATAATACTTGATTTAACTTAAACTTTTAACATGGATTTCTGAAAAGTCACATGCACTTTTGTATTCGATTACAGACATTCGACATTGCATTCTATCTTATCATTTCGAAACATGTCATAAATTTGTTTTTTGCACAATTATATTAGATTTATGTACACTGTACTCCCGGTAATTTTCGCGTGCTACTATTAGGTAGCGATCTGAGGCACTTCGATCAGGGTGTTGTCGGGACAATTTCTCTTGTGACTTAGGTTATGTATTTAGGTCTATCTCAATAGATTTTACTGGTCTTATGCGCCGCAAATGGTGCGAAAGATGTTAAAATTGCATTTTCGACCCTAAAATTCAGATTTCTTGGGGGTACATTATTATTTAGCTATAAAACAAAAACTAAACAACCAATGCTTCTTTCTTCTGGTGTTTCTGTTAAGAGTAATTATATTTAAAATGCATATGTAAAAGAATTGAAGAATTTTAACTTAATTTAAAAACAACAACATTTTTTCACCCTAAAATCATCGAATTTAGGGGGGTCGAGAGACACTGATCGGAATTGATATTTTAATTTCTCAATCAATCTTTGTTTAATATTAATGAAACTTTCCTAAAAATAGCACCAACATGTCCCCAGCATATTACCCATAAAGAAAAAACTCAAACTCTGATGTTTTTATCTATTAGAGTCAATTTACCTCTCTCCTCTTTCCCTTATAAAAGGAGTGTGGCCATTAATACATGTGGATTTAAACAGTAGCATGATGTCACATTAAATGAATACATGTACATATCATGTATTTTATCAAATATATTACCATAAAATATTTTCACTTAGGTGTATACATAGAGTACATACCTGTGAATTATTTATAATACAATATTTATTCTATGTAGGCTCGAGATATAAGAATATTAAAAATCTGAAGTTGAATATTATCTAATACACAGTTCACGACTCAGTCATAATATTAATTTTACTCATTGTATGAATTTCTGTCATCACAAATGTAGTTTTTATTCACTAGAATATATTTGATCCACAAAGCTTTGTATTTGCTAAACTTCCTCTTCATTTTGATCTTCTAAAGTATCATATAAATACGATAACATCTACCAGGTCCTGGGGTAGAATTTTATCTGGATTTGACACCCATTGAAATCCAAATGGCCATCTTTCATCCTCCATCCATGTGACACAGGGGAAGGGAATTGATGGGTAGGGGATGTGGGCAAGATTCCATATGTGTGCTTGATAACTGGCCCTTACCAGATGCTGCTGTAATGAATCTTTACATGGGGGTAGGAGGCTTATGTCAGTGCTTTCATAGCTTGTTATCACACTTGGAGCAGGTTTTGGTTGGAATTTGTTCTTGAATAAGGTATATCTCAGCTCATTTATATTTGAACACTTTTTGTTTCCATACATCTGGCAAGAAAACTTCTCAGCACATTTAGCAGTTTGGTCATTAATGACCCCTCTAATGGTGCCGAAACCTTTTTGATTTGAAATTCTACAGATCTCATAAGTAATTTTAGGGGGGGGACACTTTCCCCCTTCTCACAAAGGCACTGAAGGAATCACATCCAGTGAATGAATGGAAGGCTGGTAAAGCATTACAAATTTCCAAATGTCTGAACTGAGCGCATTTCCTACTTCCTTTACATTAAAGGGGCAACAAGGACTGTAGAGAGAAAATTCGAATTTTTTTCTTTTTTTCTGAGCTATCAGGTCAATATTTGGCTTAACATCTTCTTTGACATACCTATTTTCTGAAAATGTATGGATAAACTCTCCATTTAGAAGTGTAAATTCAGTTCAAAGCTTCTATATTTGATTTTTAAGATTCACCACGTTTCAAGAGGAATATCAGCTGAAATTATGTTCATCCAGGGGGTTTCTTTGTAGATAATAAAAATATATGTTAGTCTTGATGAAATATCCAAACTTAAATATATTTTGACACTGGTCGATGATCGTTGAATTACCCCCCTGCACTAATTGTTGCACCTTTAATAAGTCATATGTGGTCTGCACTACCAGTGTCGAAAATTAATGGAGTTTGAATATGATTGGAAAGTGCACAAGAAGTACAAAAACATCGCTATCTGGGGATCTCACAACTATAGTTTTTTCTGTATTTTCAGGTTCATTTCATGTTAATTGCATGGAGTATAATTTTTGTATCTACCTCTTTGTGGGAAGATTTCAGACTAGGTTCAACTCTATGTGTAACAGTAGTTCTATCACTGGTGCACTGTACAGATCTCACCACATGAATCTGTCTTTCTTTTATCTTTTTCCATTCTTCAAGGATCAACTGACTGAGCTGCATTTCATTCTCATCATTTAAAAGGAATTCCTTCCAATTGTTAGGAATCCTGGTATTGAGTCCTTTTATTATTAGCTTTTTGGAGACACGCCTGCATATTCTTTCTGGTTCTTTAATTGAATCTTTCTTATAGGAAGCATCTGATGGATCCTCTCTGCCAATAATCCAAATGTTTTGGGTCGCTCAGGAAGTATATGGAACAATGCTTTGCCATCATAGACTATAATTGTTTTTTTCTGGTTTGGGTCCATGTCCAATATTATTATTATATTATATTCCAGATCATGTAATAATTTTGACTTTTCTGTTTTAACCAAGAACCCATCAGGTGTTCCAAGAGCCCAGGGTATTGGACTCCGGGGATATTCCAATATTCGCTTTAGACTGATACTATGCGGCTCTGATAACATGACTAACTGGCCAAATATATTGCGCTCAGCTCTAATCTCAATCAGTTTGTTTCCAGAGCTTTTCACCTTTTTGACTCCAGCATCAGATGTTTTCTTTTATGGGGTCATGAAAACTTTTTCCCTTCTGCACAAATTGGTCTTGAATATATTGCTTAAAGGCTTGTGTGCCCTTGGATGCTGCATTTAAGAGATCATCTGCTAAATTAAAGGGTGTTTGCATTCCAGATGATATACAGTATAAATGATCATTGTCCTCAATTTGGAATGGATTGAGAAAGCCATCAATTGAATCAATCAAATTAATTAATAATAGAACATCAGACAGTAATAAGCCTTGAATAGCTTACTATTCTCCCTTATTGTTTTGCTACTTGTTCCCTGCAAATAATGGATAGCAATTTATAATTGCAATTAGATAATCAGTTTATTAATTAAAGTTAAATATAAAGATATTTTGTATAAAGTAAAACCTGTGTACAGCGAACATCTATAGAGCCACAAAAAATGTGTTCACTATTGGTAGATTTCAATACAGAAAGACAATTTGTATTGGAATCAAGGTATGTGCTGAAAATAAGGTGTTCATTTTACACAGGTGTTCACTAGAGAAAGGTGTTCACTAACACAGGTCCCACTGAATTAGGCTTATGTCATTTTAAAGACATTCACTAGCTACAAGTAAAACAAGGCATTAACATGACAAAATGTCACCACCTAGTTGAAACAAGATAAGAAATATCTTTTTAACCTTGAGGAGGTCACTAAAGGTCAAATCTATTTTGACCTTTAGAATGTCATTTAATGATCAAATCTATATTCTTAAATCTTAAGAAGGTCATTGAAGGTCAAATCTCAAACCTTAAGTCAGATTTGAACTTCCGATAACTTATAGATGATTTTGAAAAAAATGGTTAATTTGAAACAAGTTGAAAAAAGACCTTTTCTGACCTTGAAAAGGTCATTGAAGGTCAAATCTTAAATATAAAGTCGGATTTGAACATCTGAAAACATGTAGATGGTTTTGAAAACAATTGAAGTCAGTCTATACAGTATTTGTTAATTATTGGAAATTGTAAGAATTTGTTACAGACCCCAATTGCCAACCACCAACCACAAACCGCCGACCACTGACCACCGTCAAAAAAGAACAGAGACCTTAACAATATGTCACCACTTTTTGTTGGTGACATAAAAATGATAACCTGATATGAACCATCCTAAGCAGGTGTCCAGAATCTGTACCTCCTTCTTCCCCCTGCTATTACCAATTTGGACGTGCCGATTTAACTGAATCACATGATCTAATTATGCACAATGACTTATACATGATTTCTGTCGCAGTGTTGCGACAGCCAATCAGATTGCGATTTCTTAATCGGGGAAATGGTGACTGCTTATCGCAGGGGGTAAAAAGAAAGAATATGTTCTGGATTTTGAAGCCCTGTGATCAGAGGATGGATATGAACATGAAGTATTTATTTTTAGATGAACATGCCAATATGGCCACGTCTTTCTAAAAAGGGAAAGAGGGGAGAGGTAAATTGACCCCTATAGGCAAAAAACATGTTAGAGTTTGAGTTTTTTCTTTATGGTAATGTATTGGGGACATGTTGGTGCTACTTTTAGGAAAGTTTCATTAATATTAAACTGAGATTGATTGAGAAATTAAAAAATCAATATCAATCAGTGTCTCTCAATCCCCCTAAATTCTAAGATTTTAGGGTGAAAAAATGTTGCTGTTTTTAAATAAAGTTAAAATTCTTCAATTTTTTTACATATGCATTGTAAGTATGATTACTCTTAACAGAAACACCAAAAGAAAGAAGCATTGGTTGTTTAGTTTTTGTTTTATAGCTAGATAATAATGTACCCCCAAGAAATCTGAATTTTAAGGGGCGAAAATATAATTTTAACATCTTTCGCACCATTTGCGGCGCATAAGACCAGTAAAATCTGTTGAGATAGACCTAAATACATAACCTAAGTCACAAGAAAAATTGTCCCGACAACACCCTGATCGAAGTGCCTCAGATCGCTACCTATATATTTTGCGCTTTTCGTTAGTTTTGAAAAATTCGCGAAAGGCAAAACCATTGGTTGAAGGAACAACCATGGTTGATATCAAAGCCGAAAGAGTGATCCTGTATGACAAATTCGCAGAATAGCCGCGAAATTTAAAAAAAACTGAAAATTAGTGAAATATAATATAATTTGAAAATGTTACTAATATATGATAACAATCAAGTTGTATCATTCTAGGTCATCATCAGTGTGTGATGTCAAATCTCACATGAAAATGACAAACTACAAAATAATAACGGAAAATAATCAATATTCCATCACCCCTATCAAATAACCTCTTTAATTCTATAATTACTCATACTCAGTATGGAAGATTAACTCATTTGACCCTTCTAAGAAGAATAGTCTGTTGTAATTTTGCTTCACTTGTTCAGCTCTTTAATTAAGGTGTGACATATCCTTGCTATGTTCAACAAAACAAATGCTTTAAAACAAGGATTTTCCCTATGCATTGGTTTCCTTGTTTTTAGGGAACTAAATGTGACGACAAGTGTTGGAAGAATTGTATGAAAAAATCTAAACCGATGCCCGATGAACTCCAATATTGCATGGATAAATGTAGAAGTGAGTAAAGTTTATTTGAAACATTTGAAAGTGCAGTTCTTTATTCTTATGTTTGAATCACCAGGGCCTATGACATTGTGCAATCCTAGAATTGATCCTGGTTGTTGTCGTGGTAATTATGCATTGGTTTTTAGTTATATATTACCATAAGAACCCAGCTTCAGAGAAGTCATATAACGTCGGCCTCTGACCTCCCCCAGGGGGAAGGGGGATGTTAGACGTTGTTTCTTTTCACGTTAGATCATGGTTTTGGGATATATATGGTCTACTTTTCTTATGACAGATTGACACTTACAGTTTGCTTGTCTTGTTGGGTTTCTTTAAAGTTTTTAGTCACTTTCCCTTTGTCATTTGCGCTTATATAGTCCTCATCCTACTGCTCCACCTCGGATTAGTAGAGACCGGCTTCATATGGTTACTCTGCGCCTGCTTCTAAGGTTCTATAGAAAACATTCCTCCTACTCCTTCAGAATCGTCAAAACTACTTCATTATTTGAAACAGTTTTGACATTGTCATCTTACTGATGATATGGACGAAACGAGCATTAGGTATGACTATTCCATAACAATAAATTCGGCCTAGTGTTTGAATTGTATTGGAATTCTACTTTTTATATTCACTTGATATTTTATCAAGGGCTGTATATAGTCAGAAAACACATAGTCGATGTTTCATTTCTATTCCAGTTCCACCTACTCCTCCTCCGACCGCAACTCCAAGGCCACCCCCAAGTAAGTACTGTATGTCACAAAATGAAATCGTAACTTTATATTTCAATCAAAGCATCAGACTTTTAAGTTTCTATGGCATCCACATAATTTACGATGGATATAACACACTTTTGATTATACCTTATGACGAATACTCAAAACGTCTTTTCTTGTGCCTTGTGTGGTTGACATAATTTTATTTCATGCTGAAAATTGCTTAAAAGTTCTATTTTCTCCTTACCTAGATTTTTACATATCTCAAGAAGTACCTTAGAAGTACATTTTCCCTTACTTCATATTACTTTCTCGGTAAGAACCAGGCATTATTTGAACAAAGCAGGAGTTTATCATGACCTTGCTCTCTCTAAAAATAAGTAGGTCAACACAATTGCAAACAGAACTAATCCACATTCAATGACTATTTAAATATGACTATTTATGTGTACAAAATATCAATCCAATGAGTGTATAGAGTGACGCAATCAAACATTAGGACATCTGCCAAATGGGGTTTATACATTTTGGAGACATTTTCTAAGACTGATAAAAAATTCACACTTTCACAGGAAGTGATACATACCTCCCAAATCAACCAAAATATATTTATATCAGTAATCTTGAATGTTTTTTTATTGCTATTTCTTGAAAATATACATATTTTAACTACAATTTGATCCTAGATATTACCCCAGAGGTGTTTATAGCCATTCATTCTTTATCCAATATTGTCCTGGATTGTGATGTTGACTCTTGTTTGGGGGAAGGGAATGGTTTTACACCCCATTTCTTTCACATTAGATCATGGTTCTGGCATATATAGAGTATATTTTTTTTAAGTTTAAACTTAACGCCTGCTTTTCTCGCTAGGTGTCTTAAAGTTTTTTAGTCTCCATCCTTTTGGCGCTTGTGCTAAGATATTTAACGTAGAATGAAGACTGAGTAATAATGGTGCAGCGAAAGGAGAAATTTGGCTTATGTTCTGCAACTTATATCAACAATCATTCAATATCGATATACGTAGAATGTAGATGGAGCGAATATGGCGAGGAGAAATTTGGCTTATGTTCTGCGACTTATATCAACATTCATTCAATATTGTTCTTTAACACAGAATGTAGATGGAGCGAATATGGCGCGGAGAAAATTGGCCAATGTTCTGCAAGTTGTGGGGGTGGCATAACAACAGTGACACGTAAACGGACTAAGTTATATGGCTATGCAGAGACCGGGGATCCAGAATGCTATGGTTCTGACACTGTTGTTGTGAGAACCCAATTGTGTAATATTCAGCCATGTTGGGGGCCTCCACCGCCTCCACCTCCTCCAACTACCCCGCCTCCCATTATAGGGAAAAGTGAGTAACCATGCAGTCGAATCGTATCACTAAAACTATACTAAACAAAATCTCAGTTCGGCATATCATAATTATTTAAAGGATATTGCTTAGATCAAATAAATATAACCTATACAGAATCTGCACTAACACTCAAATCAACATTTCTCAAATATTAATTTAACGTAGAATGTAGATGGAGCGAATATGGCGCGGAAAAACGTGGCCAATGTTCTGCAAGTTGTGGGGGTGGCATGTTAACAGTGACACGTAAACGGACTAAATTATATGGCTATGCAGAGACCGGGGATCCAGAATGCTATGGTTCTGACACTGTTGTGAGAACCCAATTGTGTAATATTCAGCCATGTTGGGAGCCCCTGCCACCTCCACCTCCCCCAACTTACCCGCCTCCCGTCATAAGTGAGTAATCAATCGAACTACATGTATCACTAGTACAATGATAATCAATATCGTAGTTAGGTATGACATAAATTTTGAGAATGTATCGTTGTTAAAGCGAAAATAGATGAAACAATTACAGACTCTACACTATATATACCTAGTTTTAACGTTTCAGTAGATCAACTTTATGAATAAACGTTCTTTGACTAAGGTATATACATGCATCACTTAATTTGCTCCGGACGTTTTGTATGATCATTTAAACCGTTCAATTAACACTTTTAAAATTTTAAATATGTTTTTTTACTTACGTTGTATCCCTTTTTAGCACTTTTTGGATGAGAATGTTGGATCATTCGAACCTTTATTTTACGGAGATAACATTATCTAGTCTTGTGCATCGTGTTCAAAAGTGTTTTTAACGAACACATGTTACTTATAATTAAGGAGATCGCATTATATTTACATTATAGAGAAATAGAAAGTGAAAATTGTCCTCTCTAAGATATTGGAGATAAGCTCATGCGGAATTATTTGATGGATAAGTGAAAATATGCCTAGAATACGATGGGCAATTTTTCTAATCATTACAAAAAATACTGTCTTAAAACGACAATAGGATACAATACAAATACAAGCCGGACTCATACACCATCACATTCTTATTGAACACAGCAAAAAATGTGTACGAATGCAACGAATCCTGACGTCAGGATACATACAGGATATGCACCCAGTGTTTATATTGTATAAACATAGTTTCGAAACTATGTTTATACAAAATAAAAATGAGCTAAGGATAAGCGAAGTACCTCATGGAGGTCATAGTTGGTGCTTTGTTGCGAAGATATAAAAAGTCCTAAACACTTTTCACATCTATCTTAAATGATATTATTATTCCCTTTCGTGTTTTGATGAATCGGAAAGTACATTCGTGGCATTTCAAAAAAATTTCAAAATATAACATAATGTTTTTAGATTGCTACTGGGGAGATTGGACTGAATGTCCTTGCATTAGAAACCAATTACCTGCTACTGCGACATGTCGAATTCATGGTATTTCAAAATGTCATAGAACCCGTAATTGCCATTGCACTGGAAAACGAACTGGTGTCGCAACTTATCCTCAATGCGCAGGTCTTTCGATAGAATATGAGCACAAGCCATGCTGCTATAGCCACCATTATCATACAAGCCCCCCGACTTATCCACCTCGTAAGTAACAACTTACTCGTAAGAATTAGGCTAGGCAAATGGAAGTTAAACATCCCACAATTGCAACAGTTTATAAAATAGGCTTATATTGTATATTGATACCAGTTGAAAAACATATCAAAAATATAGAAAAATATATGCAGTGGACAAATATGAAATGTCACATTCCAGGTACCCCCCTCCAAATTTGAGTATGGGATTGTAAATATTTTTTTATTTCAAAATGGAATACTCTTGTCAACTAAACGAGAAATATTATGATAGTTTACTGACATAAGAGCAACTAAAAATTGTTAACCAACTATTTGAGTGCAATAATTGTCATTTCTAGCGCCAAATATCTGAAAATAGGCCATCAAATAGCCCGAATTTAATATAACAATGTATTTATTTCTGTATCAATTCATTAGAATTGCATGAAAAATATCAAGGAGGGTATTGTACACCTGATCATTGTCTTTGATAAGTATCAGGGTCATTAAAGGGGCAATAAGGCTTGTAGAGAAAAATAAGAAAATTTTAACTTTTTCTGAGCTATCAAGGCAACAGTTGGCTTAACATCTTCTTTGACATACCTATTTTGTTAAAATGTATGGATAAACTATCAATTTCGGCATTAAATTCAGTTCAAAGCTTCAAAAAGGGGACGTCCACTTTTATATTTTTAAGATCCGCCATGTTTCAAGACTAATATAAGCTGAAATAATGATTATCTAGGGGGATTCTTTGTAGAAAATAAAAATAGATGTTAGTCTTGATGAAATATTCATACTTAGATATGTTTTGACACTGGTGCATAATCGTTGAATGGCCCCTCTGCACTACTTGTTGCACCTTTAAGTGACAATTGAGCGTGAAAATAATATTTGAAATTTCAATATTTTACCATACCCACTTTTGGGGTGACCTTACTTTTGTTTAATTACTTCCAAGATATGTCATATTTGAACTCAATAGCACAACTAAATTATTTGTAAAGGCTTATTTTGTCCTGAAAACAGTTTTTTGAGGTTATCAGGAAAGGATTATGTAAAAAAAAAAGTAGAAAAACAGCAAATGCCAGGTGAAATATAGGGGAAGCCCTACTTTTAGTTGATAACTCTTAAATTATCAAATGCTTTTCCTTTTAAATTCAATTTGATATATAATATACCTTTTCTGGTAAAACAGAGAACGATTTGTTACAATCAGTGGTCAAAAAATGTCCTTGAAAAGGCAACAAAATGTTAAATATCCCTGTCCCTGACATCAGTTTATTAATATAAGCCAAAAAAGGTAACCCAACCAAATGTTTGTTAATAACCCAGTCATTCATCATGGGTTTGACATCATATTTGGCACAATTACCTTGTTCAATGTTCTTTCATTCTACTAAGTGTCATTGATCTATCCTTAATAGTCACGATTTTATGGCCATTTACAAAATGTGCTCAAAATATCGAAATGTGCCTAACTGACTGGACATCAATACCACCAGTTTTTTTTATCTGTGGACCTTTTTTCGATACTAACAACACTTGAAACATTAAAACAAGAGATAAGAATGAAGATGAGAGTCATAACACATGATCTTTATGCTCCTGATTTGAACAACAACGCACGATACGTTCAAGTTGGCCTCCAGGCATGACACCCATATTTCATGGCATGGTATAAAATGGCCATAAAATCGTGACCACTAGAGACCACTGAGACTGGGTAGATTGATAATACCTTGACCAAGACTCAATTCTGCCAAATATGACACTAAATCCATGCAGGATGATTGGACTGGATTATTAAGATTTGTTTGGGTTACCTTTTTGGCTCGCCCTGTATTAAGGAAAAATTGTTACTTTTGACTAAGGTGTTCTTAACCACACAGTGATATTGAGAAATGAAATGAAGAAGTTCAACTGAAGAATGTTCGATTTCAAGATGAAATTCAATAAAAAATGAGAAAAGGGTTTCTACATTAATAAATCCTCCTGAGTTAACTAGTGTAACGCAAAGTAAATCCCTGGTCTTTATACAGGGCCTGGTTCGATTATGTTATGTTCATTATCAAAAATGCTGCCTTTATTTTGTAATCTTAACCTTCATATATGTGTCTTACTTATAGAGAGCAAAAAAGAATGCTGATTAAATAAGCTTAATACTATTATGTTGTAACAACAATCAGTTACAACCTTGTCTATCACCAGCCCTCATCAGGGACGGATATGGGAACCAACAAGGGGGGGGGGCAAATGTCAGGTCTGAGAAAAAAACTTCCGCGGAAAAGATTTTGGGCCCCTAAAACCCTGAAGTGGGCCCAAATTTTGAAATATTGAGACCCATTTTCTTCAATTAAAAAATAAGGCTTTAAAAGGCCCATTTATGACCAAAAAGGCTCACTTTTCGGGGCCTTAAGGCCTTTTTGGGCCCAATTTTCTTTCTGGGCCCGCCCAAGGGGGTGGAAGGGGCCCAGATCTGCCAGTGTTCATTATTTAGTCATCATTATTCTCATTATCAGTAATGGAGGTATTTGCACAAATGCCTTTGCATACCTTACATGTCAAAGAACAGTTATTTCATTTTTCTACAAGAACATCTCATAGAAATACAATCTGCCTTACACACACAATGGATGATCTCTGAGAACGGGGAGCTGCATTGGGCAATTGGTACATAGTTTCGTTGCTTATTTCCCAGCCCAATTATAATGGAGGCAGTTTATTTCCCTCCCACTCCTGGATCTGATGGTACACTCTGTAACTGTGGTATTCCGCAGCATCAGAAAATTGAGGAAGAACTCTCTTTTAATAGAATTTTAGAAGCCTAAGATAATTTAGGATTTCACCATTTTCCACCATAAATTGACAAAAGAGCATGTTCCTCTGCAATGACAGAGTTGCTTGCATTTCACTGGTTTTCTACTTGTTTACGTTGTAACAAAATGTCGGAACATCGAAGGTTTGATTTTTCTTTTTTCTTTATTTCACACATTGTAGGCAGAATTCCCACAACATTCTTATCACAAAAATGTATCAGTATTATATGTTTAAAAAATGTACATATTTGCGAACAAATAGTTCAGAAGACAACAGAATCTTCGATTTAATTCCTCACTTAAAAGTTACATAAACGGTATTTCGATAAACAATTAAGATCTGCACTTTTAACCCAAACCGTTTATTTAGCTTAAGTAAGGAATTAAATCAACAATTCTGTGAGAAAAAAAACATCGTGGGGATTCAGGCTACAACGCGTGAAAAAAAAGGAAAAAATAGATATCGTACTTTCGACGTTTAGACATTTTGCTACCGAAACGACAGGCGTAATCGAGCGGATCACCAGTGCTTTTGGTAATTTAAAAACAACCGCTTGTTTTCTCAAGAACTCACTCTTTTTTATCTGCCTCAATGATAGCCTTTTGTCTATGCCATATATAACCTGAATGCGATGTCACACCCCAGAAAAGAAACAAAATATTGTCACAGACAACTTTTCCAAAGATAATCTTATTTCATTTATATTCCAACATTTTGTTTCTTGGGTTGCTGCTTTTGGTTCAGGTTTGAAGAAAATATTGAAGTATGTGTTTTGTGCATGATAAATGAGAAGCACAAGGAGATCTGTATGAGTACTGTATTTGAGGTTTGGACACTGGATTGCAGTTTTCACAATCACAATATCTGCATCCGATTCTGAATGCAGCACATGTACACTCAATGTTTTCCAACCTGACAGACAGAATTACCATCATTCCTATGCACTGAAATTATATTAATGAAAGACTCCCCAGATATCTGAATTTTAATGTTCTCTGTCAGTTTAAATTCCGTTTAATAACCATGCATAAATTCGTTTCTACAGCATTATACATCCAATGGATAGTTCCATAGTAATGTACTCTTATGTAATGATTTATTTATCTGATGAATTTAAATATATGCAAATTTTGTAATTGCGGATTGTAATTAATAAATTAAACAATATTAAATTCCACAAAAACTACAACTTACATTATTTATATAAGCCTAGTATAGAGCAGTTATCAAATACCCTAATATCAGAGTGGTGATATGTAATTATTCATCAAATAAAAGTGAGGTCACCTTAACATTTCACCTGGTGCAACTAATAATTCCTATTTTTCATACTAATAAGGTATAAACCTTCACAAAACTTGTATTTTAGATGGTGACAAGCCTATATAAATGATTTAGATGTCAACTCTAATACAAATGTGATGCATTGTGGGAGCTAATCATCAAAACTATAGTCTCCCCTATAGTGGGCGGGGCAAAACTATGAAAATGAAATAATTTTTTTCTTCCTAAGTATACACATTAGAATTCTGACACTCACCAAATATGAAGTTCATATGAATATGTAACACCATGATTTTTTTCATGCTTTTCTGACAAACTGATCCTAAAATATCTAAATAGATATGTGATAACATGCCTGTTTTGTGGCCTATTTTGTTATACTTTGGGGTCAAATGACCAATTACTGGTCTCAAAATTGATTAAAATAATATTTTAATTATTTATGAATATGTGATCTATCATAATAAAGCTTGAATACTTGACTAAATTGTTTCCTACCAATACTCAATTTTGGGGTAGGGTTGTAGGGGGTACCTAGGAAGTGATATTTCATATTTGTCCACTGCATACATTTTTCTATATTTTTGATATGTTTTTCAACTGATATTAATACATAATATAAGACTAATTTAAAAACTGTTGCAATTTTTGGGATGTTTGGGCCTTTTATGAGCCCATTTGCTTGGCCTAAATGTCGTCACTACATTTATGTACTCTTAACATCAAACATATCTTTAGAAAACGTCAATGAGACACTCAAAAAACTCATATAAAATATTTAAATGAATCGGAACGTATCCTGATGCAATTGAATTTAAGATTCCCAAAATATATCATTATGTTTTTAGACTGCTACTGGGGAGATTGGACTGAATGGGTATACGGTACTTGCGTTATGAGTTATTCAGCTGCTACTACGGATTGTCAGATTCATGGAATTTCAAAATGTCATAGAACCCGTTATTGCCATTGCACTGGAAAACGAAGTAGTGTGGCCGCTTATCATCAATGCACTGGTCTTTCGATAGAATATAAACACAAGGAATGCTGCTATAGTCACTCATATACAACCCCTCCGACTCATCCAACTCGTAAGTAACAACTTACTTGTAAGAATGTCGTCGCTACATTGAATGCCATTGCATTTCAAAATCCTTTCAATATATCTTTATGTTTTTAGACTGCTACTGGGGAGATTGGACTGAATGGGTATACGGTACTTGCGTTATGAGTCATTCAGCTGCTACTACGGATTGTCAAATTCATGGAATTTCAAAATGCCATAGAACCCGTCAGTGTTATTGTACTGGAAAACGAAGTAGTGTGGCCGCTTATCATCAATGCACTGGTCTTTCGATAGAATATAAACACAAGGCATGCTGCTATAGCCAACCATATTCTACACCCCCTCCGACTCATTCACCTCGTAAGTAACACCCTACTTGTAAGCATGTCTACATACTTTGATTTTTATCGTACCTAATAAAGGTACGATATTGTCGTCAGCTTGACGGGCGGGCGGGCGGGCGGGCGGGCGGCGGGCGGGCGGCGTCTCACTTTTCAGCTTGTCTACAGGTTTCAAGCCAAACCATTTGACAGATTCATCTGAAATATTAAGGAATGTTTCTACGTATCAAAGTTAAGAACTGATTAGTTTTTGGGCATTCTGGGTAAATTTTAAGGTGGCCATTTTGGATTTTCCGTCCTAAAATCTTCACTTTCAAGACTTGTCTACAGGTTTCCAGCCAAACCATTTGACGGATTCATCTGAAATTTTCAGGAATGTTTCTACCTATCAAAGTTAAGAACTGATTAGTTTTTTGGCATTCTGGGTAAAATTTAAGGTGGCCATTTTGGATTTTCCGTCCTAAAATCTTCACTTTCAAGACTTGTCTACAGGTTTCCAGCCAAACCATTTGACGGATTCATCTGACATTTTCAGGGATGTTTCTACGTATCAAAGTTAAGAACTGATTAGTTTTTTGGCATTCTGGGTAAACTTTAAGGTGGCCGTTTTGGATTTTCCGTCCTAAAATCTTCACTTTCAAGACTTGTCTACAGGTTTCCAGCCAAACCATTTGACGGATTCGTTTGAAATTTACAGGGATGTTTCTACGTATCAAAGTTAACAACTGATTAGTTTTTGGGCATTCTGGGTAAATTTTAAGGTGGCCATTTTGGATTTTCCGTCCTAAAATCTTCACTTTCAAGACTTGTCTACAGCTTTCCAGCCAAACCATTTGACGGATTCATCTGAAATTTTCAGGGATGTTTCTACGTATCAAAGTTAAGAACTGATTGGTTTTTGGCATTCTGGGTAAAATTTAAGGTGGCCATTTTGGATTTTCTGTCCTAAAATCTTCACCTTTAAGACTTGTCTACAGGTTTCCGGCCAAACCATTTGACGGATTCATTTGAAATTTACAGGGATGTGTCTACGTATCAAAGTTACCAACTGATTAGTTTTTGAGCATTCTGGGTTAATTTTAAGGTGGCCATTTTGGATTTTCCGTCCTAAAATCTTCACTTTCAAGACTTGTCTACAGGTTTCCAGCCAAACCATTTGATGGATTCATCTGAAAATTTCAGGGATGTTTCTACGTATCAAAGTTAAGAACTGATTAGTTTTTGGGCATTCTGGGGAAATTTTAAGGTGGCCATTTTGGATTTTCCGTCCTAAATTCTTCACTGTCACACTGCTGTGTTTAGGTACGATATTGTTCACGTCTGTGCCTTGTTCATTATATACTTTTATATTAATTCACTCATTGATATCAATATAAGTACTCATTCGGTAATTTTACTCGCACAGATATTGGTATTAACTCGTGGATATAAATGATATCACTCAAAATGTATTGGATATCCTATACTTATTACAACCCAAAATGAACAGAAATACATCCATTAGCGTTCATCTATTAGCACATTACTATGGAAAAGTGGTGCCATCTTAATATAAAATGCTTATTAATGTTTATTTGTGTTCGTACTATTCAAATGGCAAATGGTGGCACAGGTGTATAAACGTATACATATATTCATAAGCGTTTACTAAATAGAGAGGATAATATGCACGGACAACCTAAACATAAACCTGTGTTCATGCATACGCGTATAGGTTTTTCTAAATCTTCATTTTGAGCAGCAAAATAAGTGATATCACCGTATATACATTGATCGCCTATTAACACAAGTGCGTGAGAAATGACTCGACGAGATCCGCAAAATTCAAATGTATTGTAATGGTTATTTTTAAATGATTCATTGGTGTTTATTTTACAGGCTACTGGGTAAAATGCTTTAATATATTAAAGACAAAATAATATTTTTACACTCTTTAATTTAGGTCTTGGGTTTCCATTTGACCATGATAAAATTTGTTTCCTCTTAATAACATTGAGTAAATATTTGAACACAGAAATTAATGGATCAGCCTATAGTGTGAATTTCAGCAGACCAGACACCCAGAAATTTTTTATTTTGATCATAGGAATAAGGGGGTTTCTCGCAAAATTTATGTCCGAAACCAAATATGATATTTATTTGGGGAAAATAAACATCACCGTCCTCTGATTCATTAAATAAAATGGTCACTGTGTGTGCTTATATTTTGTTTCGTTTTTTTGTCTTTAGGTTTGAATACAATTGCCCTTTAATGATATGTACAGTAGAACCTGCTAAGTGGAACACCTCACCTCATAAGTGGCACAGTTTTTTAAAGTCCTATGACCAATTTTCTACATGTAAATGAATCTCCGTAATAAGAACACAGAACGCCGCCAGATCGTTTGTAGTACGTACAGAAGTAGAGCTCAATAGAAAATACTGTTATAATATTGAGTGTTTCTTACTACTAGATACCATATGGCCGAAATATGTGAAGTGGAACAGCTCCTAAGTGGAACAATTTTTGAAACAACCAATGGCGTTCCACTGACAAAGGTTCTATTGTATTTCAAAAGGGTATTGTCGACTATACTCGCTTACCAGTAGTTTGATTTCATATGCACTATTTCATTGGTCAACTCAATCAAACCCCTCACTTATGAGGTTGACCATCTTCGAATTCCAAGTTGGAGAAACTAAAGTCTTGAAAATCAAGCTATAGGCTGACTGGCCAGGTTGTTCTATTTACCTAGTTCATAGGAAGTTGATAATGTAGGCCGAATAATATGATATCCCATTCATTAAAATCCTGAATCAATCTCTGACAAAATAATAAGACTTGGACAGAAAGTTCACCCTCTGATTCCAAGGTATGATATTCTACAACGTGGTTTATAAGGTTCGGTAATTTAGGAGTTCGTATAGAAGGACAGTAATAACATGTGAATCCAACCATATTGAAATGCAAAGAACATAATATTATTAGAATCAACATGGTAAACTCTCACACTTGGCTGATCATAATTATTTCTCATAACATCCATTTTACTCAGTACTGAAGGGAAGTTGGAACGTCTGATATCTTTGGAATGTTAAGTATTATGTGTATTAGCCATAGGTATGTTGGTTCTGTGGTTTCAGTTATCTAAAAAAAGAAAATTTGGTGAAATAGACCTTTTAGTTCGGCGGATAATTGATTTTGCTTTATTTTTCAACTCAATTCAGGTATTTCGGTTAAGCCAATCACTGAATCATTTTGCCAAATCAATCTTGAGTCTCTTATACAGCATAGGGAATATCATTTTTAGGTAACATAATATTACAGTGGTAAAGAAAAGAGAAACAGACATACCTTTCCTCCGAAATGTTGAATTTTGCAGATCTTGAGTCTTTCCTCAAGCACTTGAAATAATAGGCGATCACTGTACATACAGTGGATATATTCATCTAAAACGTAAACGAAATAAGGAGTGGCATTGGCCTTTAAAGTAAAAAAAGATGAGATGGCCACAAATGATTGGCTGTAATAGTGAATTTATTTGAACATGGCTATAGCCCAACAAACGATTTATTTGAGCCATTAAATGCATACACATTACACAACTATTCCTCAGATAAGCAACTTTCAAATTGTAAACATAAATATAAATACTTTTGCTTTTTTCATTTTTTCATGGAACAAAACTCAAGTTACTGCCAACTCAAAAAGCTAGAGTTTCGCGCCTTAATGGCCATATACATACATACATACATACATACATACATATACATGTTATGGGCATTGACCTTTAAAGTAAAAAATTAGTACCGTGGGTACTGGGCCCACATGGTGTTGCTCAAAAGTGAAAATAAAAAGACGGGTATAATTTCTTGCAGATTTTTTGTGGCAAAATTATTTCATACAACTACTCTTTACAAAGACATGGCTTTTTACAATGCAGGACACGTGAACTTATTTGTAAAGCTAGGAAATGGGCCAAAAGTGAATTTCCTGAGACAAAAATGGTGGCCATTTTGAAATTAGGCGAGATTTTGAAGCAGGAGTCACAGGTTTTTTTTCTTTATTGATGTTGAACAAAATTATTTTAAATCGGGAATCCTATCTACAGAGGATTTAAAAAGTGTTGACAGAGGTTTAAAACTTGCCACTTTTTTGGGCTAACTGAGAGACAGATGGACGAATCAATGTTAACTAAAATGGCTGAAAATAAAAAAAACTCATATAATATTTTGCCGATTTTTGTAACAAAATTATTTAATACAACTACTCTTTACAGTGACATGGCTTTTTACAATGCAGGACAGCTGAAATTATTTGTAAAGCTATGAAATGGGCCAAAAGTGAATTTCGCAAGACAAGAATGGTGACCATTTTGAAAATAGGCGAGCTTTTGAACCAAGAGTCATAGGAGAGTTTTTTGTATTGATGTTGAACAAAATTAACTTAAAACAGGAATCCTATCGACAGAGGGGGTTTAAGGCAAATGGTCCAAAAGTGGATTTTGCGAGACAGATGGACAAATCAATGTTAACTAAAATGGCTGAAAATAAAAAAATTGATATAAGTTTTTGCTGATTTTTCGTAACAAAATTATTTCATACATCTACTCTTTACATTGACATGGATTTTTACAATGTAGGACACTTGAAATTATTTGTAAAGCTAGGAAAAGGGTCAAAAGTGAATTTCGCAAGACAAAATGGCGGCCATTTTGAAAATAATCGAGCTTTTGAGCCAGGAGTCATAGGGGAGTTTTCTGTATTGATGTTGAACAGAAATAACTTAAAACAGGAATCTTATCGACAGCGGTTTTTAAACGTGCCACTGTTGTTGACGGAAAAGTGGATTTCACAAGTCAGATGGACAAATCAATGTTAACTAAAATGGCTGAAAATAAAAAAAATAGATATAATTTTTCGCTGATTTTTTGTAACAAAATTATTTCATATATCTACTCTTTACATTGACACAGATTTTTACAATGTAGGACACCTGAAATTATTTGTAAAGCTAGGAAATGGGTCAAAAGTGAATTTCGCGAGACAAAAATGGCGGCCATTTTGAAAATAGGCGAGCTTTTGAACCAGGAGTCATAGGGGAGTTTTCTGTATTGATGTTGAACAGAAATAACTTAAAACAGGAATCCTATCGACAGAAGTTTTAAAACGTGCCACTATTGTTGACGGACAGACAGACAGACAGACAGACAGACGGACGGACGGACGGACGGACGGACGGACGAGTGAGCGATTGCAAAAGCTCACCATGTGAGCTAAAGAAATGAGATGGCCACAAATGATTGGCTGTAATGGTGAATTTATTTGAACATGGCTACAGCCAAACAAAGGATTTATTTGAGCCCTAAAATGCATACACATTACACAACTTTTCCTCAGATAAGCCACTTTCAAATTGTAAACATAAATGTAAATACTTTTGCTTTTTAAGGCATTTTTTCATGGAACAAAACTCAAGTTACTGCCAACTCAAAAAGCTAGAGTTTCGCGCCTCAATGGCCATATAGAATTATTGAAACCGTTTAATACAATTAAGTACAGTAAAGTTATGTAATCTCAACCTCACTCAGAATCTCCTGTGTTATAGGTTCATCGCAAGAAGAATACCCAACTGACAACATTGAATTCACATTAAATTAACACGTTGAGGGGATTGTAAAACACGTTAAACTTGACGAGTTTTCATAATTTGTTGCGCACGCATCGCAATTCAAGTCCAGGTTTACGTTTTCGTCGTCCAAAAGATGAAATCTTATCTTTTCTATTGTGGCTGTAACATTTTGGCGCCGACTTAACATATGCGTACTTGATCAAGCTTTTATTTATTAGCACACTGCTGTGGAAAATTAAGGGCCATCTAAACATGTTAATGCATAATCAACGTTTATGAATTAGCACATGGTTGTGGTATATGGGGACCATGGATGGTTGTTCCTGGTAAATGTGATCCACCAGCAGGTTGTACCCCATTGGACCCAACAGGTAGAAAACGCGAAATCCAAAATATGAGAGAGAAGCGGCAGTTCGTGTGTGTCATTATAACATACACGTGTCAATTTGTAAGGCAATGTACACCATGTTACTACGGATATAAGCACCAGGGATGCGTAGGAGTGTCATACAAAACAGAAAATCGCACTTGCTGCAATCCAGGTATGGTGATCGATTATTTGTTATGACTTAAAGAAGAGGTACAAGGGTAGTTTAAATTGTAACAAACGTTCACGATTATCAAAGGCCATAAAAAATTCACAAAGTGGGTATAGTTCACCATAGAAGTTTGATCAATATAACACATGAGATGTCAACATTATCTTATATGTCTATTCAAATGGCTGCGAATGTGTTATAGGCACATAAAAACACATGAGGCCAAAACCTAAAATATAAGATATTATACAAATATTCAATCCTTTTGAGTGCAATAACTATACCCAAAGAAAAAAGGTACATGGTCAATCGTTACAATAGTTTGTATAATTTTACCAAACTCTTCGAGGCATATTGTGTAAATGTTGTGAATAATGGCGGAGATCTTTAGAAATAAGATGGAAATCTAAACTCTTCGAGGCGTATTGTATAAATGTTGTGAATAAGTGGTGGAGATCTTTAGAAATAAGATGGAAATCTAACACTGTCACACTGACGATTTTGTGACCTATTCTATTCAATGCTTTCTAGATTTTTACCATATCTTCGAAATTCTTTGGCATTTTCAATTCATTCCCAAAGTCAAAGTATACATACACAACGTTTAGTGTGATAACAAGGATATGACCTTGCATCTTTTTTTCTTTACGGAGGGTATTTATTTCTGAGGGTGTATTCCTCGCAGCCGAAGGGCGAGAGGAACCCACCCCTCAGAAATATATACAGGTATTGCACGAAACAAGAATTCAATATTTGTTTTATTATATCACTGAACAAGTTATATTGTAATATTAGCCTGATTTTGTAGTTGCACTGAGATAAGTTCACCAAAATGTTATTCAAATTTTCTTTGGAACAACTTGCAATGTCGATTTCACTCTCATTTAAATACTTTTTACTCGTTCTAATCCTTCTCTGAGTAGCCTCTAAGTATCAGCTAATTAATCCATTTAAAATCCTGTTTACTTTCAACTAAAATTGGTTTATATAAAACGTCCGACAAAAATTTTCCAAAGGAAGAAATATCTTATGTGGTTTCCCTGGGAATACATAAAATAAACATGTAACGTACACTTGTTGAATACCTGTATTTTTTCTTGAAAAATGAACCTTTCATATTGATGATTTACACACGAATTAAATACCCTGTGATATTTTTGGTCACATGATACATGACCGAACAATCACAGTGCCGATTATAACTCATAAAAATAACCGATTGTGTGTAGGTCCAACAACAACAATAACAACAGCACCGACGCCAACTCCCACTACGACATCAGCAACAACAACAACAACAATAACACCAACTACAACTACAACTGCTACAACAGCTTGTCCAAGATGGGGCGACTGGGGACTGTGGGATAGTTGTAATACACCGAACTGTCAACCTTTCGTTGACTATCCCGGTTATCCAAAACGAAAACGACAACCTTGTACCCAGTTATTGGAAACAACTTGCACACGGATCAAGGCATGTGAGCAATGTGATGGCAGCACTGGGGACTGCACTATACCGCAACCGTCGGAAACAAAAATATTAAAGTGCTGCGGTAAAAAATTAATTCCCTGAATATTACAATTAATATATATGTCAAATAACGATAATAAATTCATATATAACATAAACATTTTCACGTGGACAGGTATTCAATTGGAATAAGAGATCAAACCGTTAAATTTTGTGATAACTTGACTAAATATCTTGTTTCAGTACCCTAATAAAAGATAACAACACGACGGCCGCCCAGACATCAAACCTGAAACAGTTAAAGACGAAACAATTATGATCTACATATTTTATTATATGAACAATTGATTGCTTAATAAAGACAAATTCATTGCTGCAAAAAATTGTTGTTTTTGAATGACTGTGTATTTTAGAAGTAAGCTTTGCTTTCATAATATTTATTCAGGATTCATCGTTTCCTTCTATTCGCTGATTGCTGATTGAATTACATTACTATAACAGATGAGGAAAGAGATTGCCATGCGTTTATTTGCCCATTTAAGTGCATAACAATTACATTACGTAATGTTCCATAACGGTATCATTGTTCACATATTAGTAATTATTTCTGCTGCATTTTTGAATTGCCCGCGGCGGTGGTTGCTACCATGTTTGGGCTGCTATGTTTTTAAACATGTATTGATTATTTAGAAGGATGATTTTATTTTCGATCTAGAAAATATGTCAAAGATAAAAGAGAAAGTATGACCCATAATTACAATATTATGTTACAATATACAACGTGCCTTTACTTTGGATCAACCTAATGTTTGCTTTAGCTACTTCTCAAATTGGGTAGATACAGCGAATAGGTAATTGCTAACAATTTAAATGAATGCAGGAGTACTTAAACATAAAATATTTGATATGAAGCAAATATCAGCGAGCAATATCAGATGCTCAGCTATCAAAAAGGCTGGGATGTCTGAAACTATACTATTTTCAAAACCCGTAGTGTTGAGCGAAATTGTCTACTCGAGAATATAATATTTGATTTAACATTAATTTTTAACATTGCTTTCTGAGAAGTCACATGCACTTTTGCATTCAATTTTATCTCATCATTTCGAAACATGTCATAGATTTATTTGTTTTTGCACAATTATATTCGATTTATGTATATACAGGGTGATCCAGAAGTAACGTCAAAGACATTTTAATTTCAAAAGTATTCATCAGATCTTCATTGAATTTGGTATACATGTACCCACAACATTTCTGAGTTACCATCTCAAAGATTGGAATTCAATCATTTCATTGGTTGAAATTATGGTTGCTATAGTAACCCGATATCGCGTAACCCGGGGCAAATTGAAGAGAAACCATAACGTTTTTGTGAATTTCTCTAATTTAAAAAGTCAGTAACATTTGAAAATGTTCATTGTTTGTTTTCTATGATTTTTATATTTGTTGCCATGGTAACAAATATGTAATAGTTGTGATGTCACAATAGGCATTCATAAAAAGCTTTCAATTTCTTTGAATTGCTTCCATCATCCATGACAAATACTAACATGACCAAGGACACTAACCCACCCAATTCAAGATGGCGCCAAGTCAGAGTAAAATAGAGCAAAGAACAAACATTAAGTTCTGTGTAAAGTTGGGGAAAGGTGTAAAAGAGACTATAAGACAGATAAAGAAGGCATATGGTAAAGCTGCCATTGCTGAGAGAAACATTTACAGGTGGTTTAACAAGTATTCCAGTGGATATGATGAAGTGGTAGACAAGCAGCGAGGAGGCAGGCCAGTGTCGTCATTCGATGATCAAACCATCAAAGCAATTGAAGCTGATGTTATGGACAATAGGCAAATTTCTATCAGAGAATTGGCTGAAAAACACGATCTGAGCTATGGGACTGTGCAACGGATACTGACAAAGAACTGTCTGTTAAAGAAGGTGTCTGCTAAATGGGTGCCGCATGACTTGACACAGGAGCAGAAAGACCGGCGTGTTAAGGCTTCAAGGGACTTTCTTGCAAAATATCGGAGAGATGGAGATGACTTTCTTAACAAGATCATTACGAGTGACGAATCATTGCTATCATTCTACATCCCAGAGACCACGCAACAAAGTTCATCGTGGAAACATGACAACTCCCCAACACCAACCAAGCCTAAAATAGTACCAGGAATTCCACAAAAGAAACAAATGGTTGTGACATTCTTTGACATTAGAGGAATGGTGTTAACCCATTTTGTTCCCATTGGCCAGAGAATTAATGCCGTTTACATTGCAAAGGTAAGATATCATTTGTTCTAATAATACATCATACTGTGAATTTTATTTTTAAATTAAAGTATTTAAATGTTGTTCACTGTCAATATAATTATAACTCCATGGCCATGATTCAAATCCAAATCCAATCAATGAAACAACTGGTTTAACAACCATTAAACATTTGTTTTTCAGGTTCTGAAGCGTGATCTTCAACGTTCCCTGAGGAAAAAGCGTCCCGGACATCTGCAGCAGTTTATCTTGCATTGGGACAATGCCCCTACGCACACTGCAATCCTGACCAGCAACACAGTCCAAACACTTGGATTTCAACAACTTGAACATGCCCCTTATTCACCTGATCTTGCCCCCAGTGACTTTTATTTGTATGGGGAACTAAAAAGAAACCTTAGTGGAAATAATTTTCAATCCTGTGAGGAATTGAAAAATGCCGTAGTACTAGCCCTACAAGGAATGAGTTCTAATGGATTTAATTCTGTGTTCAAGGAATGGGTATCCAGACATGAGAAATGTGTTGCAAATGGTGGCAATTATGTAGAATGAACTATTATTAGTAACTGTGCAATAGTATGATTTATATTGTTGTGAAATAAAATGTTGAGGATATAACAATTTCAGATCTTGTTGATATTTTGAGATTACGCATTACACGTTAAGTAATTTGCCCCGGGTTACACGATATCGGGTTACTATAGCAACCATAATTTCAACCAATGAAATGATTGAATTCCAATCTTTGAGATGGTAACTCAGAAATGTTGTGGGTACATGTATACCAAATTTCATGAAGATCTGATGAATACTTTTGAAATTACAATGTCTTTGACGTTACTTCTGGATCACCCTGTATATACTGTACTCCCGGTAATTTTCGAGCGATACTATATTTCGCGTTTTTCGTGATTTTGAAAAATTCGCGAAATATAATAGCCGCGAAATTCACCCAGTTTTAATTTGCGAAATTTGATAGTCGCGAAATTCCAAGGAAATTTCCGGGGATTTCAATGTTGACAATATTTCGTCCACTTTTCGTCCGCATTTTTAGTTTTGAAATAGAGAAATTAAAAGAGAGATCGTTATTAGTGTATTTAAATGATTATTCTATCGAAAAGGCAAAACCATTGGGTGAAGGAACAACCATGGCTGTTATCAAACTCGAAAGAGTGATCTTGTATGACAAGTCCGCGGACATTAAGAGCCGCAAAATTTTAAAAATCTTAAAATTAGCGAAATAAAATAGTCGCGAAATATCAAAATGCCAAAAACGTGAAATATGATAGCGCCAAATATTTGTGGGAGTACAATATGTGGTAACACTTTTGAATATGCGGTGAATTTGTATCTATTGTATAAGTACTAGTCTAGAATTATGCTCGATCGGTGAATTTTCAAATGCGAACTTAAAAAGTCTCGTCTCTCAATACAATATGTTGTTCAATAAATATGTCCAGAAAGCACAAGTAAAATTGCATTTTAAAGGTTTTAAATTAATATAAGGAGGTATGAGATATATCAATATCAGGGGGGCGATTGTAAGAATTATACCTTACATTATCTTATATGTAACATCACGTAATTATTCTATCATCCAATGGAAATTGAGATGTTGGCATAACCACATGAGGTGAAGCATATGCTTTCTGTGTTTTTCTCATTTCTCAAATCATTACATTGGTGCGCCATAACAGTTGGTAATTTGTAATTTCATTCAAAAGCATCGGTTGAGGCAATAATACGTCAAATATATCTTTCGATCTGTTTTGTTTGTATGATTAAAGGCTAATTTATCAAAAAATAGTCCTTGTTTCTGTAGTTGTGAATGTTGACACAAACACATCCGGTTGGTATATATCGTTACAATATTGTAATCTTTATTTGCATACATGTCAATGTCTCAAAATATGATGATGTCTTCTGCCGTTTATTCCTATATTACCATAACCCTTGATAATCCTTGATGGCAACTTCATTTTGTTCGACACAATGCAGAGTAGAGTAAGCATCTTAACAGCGGCCCTAGCCATAGCGCTGGTAGGACTAGGTTAGTAAGCATAGTTTTATATTGAAGTCTGAACAGCCATTTGTGAATAAAACTGTAATATATATATATATATAGCTATGATATAGCAAATTTATTAGTAAGTTGCATTTACAGTTTCTTGTGCTTGTTATTTTTTTAATCAGATTTAGTGATATTATTTATAAATATGTTTGTCGAGAAGTATTGTAGTGCCTATGTACACAATATCATTATAGTGTCTTTCCATTCGTTTGAAATTGAAAAAAATATTTAGCTAAACATTTGGTCTATCAACACGTTTATAAGCATAAGATATCCAAATCAAAATGCATTTAAAACTGGTCCTCCGTACTTAAATCTAAAAGAACACAACCACCATATAAATTTGCATTGGCTCTTATGTGCCGCTATGTCGCTATTTATTGGCCTATGATAATATCGTACATACAAACTCCACATACACAATGACCCTTTGGGCAGCACCTCGGAGGTGTCCCGGACTTATGATCGGATCATAATCCTGGCATACAAAGCCATATATCATTAATATTCTGTAATCAACTTCTAAATCCCTCAGAGGTTAACGTTTTATATCGAATATTGTGCAGATGCCCCAGAGGCAAAATTCAATAATAGTCCAATGACATGATCTTAATCCCGGCATTTAAAGCCATATCATTAATATTATTTTCTAATTCTTATAAAATGGATTATTCCTCAGAGGAACTCTTTCCCTCATTACCTTATACGCAATCGGGGCCAGTAAGGGCCGTTAACAAAGGGGACCATCATTTCTTTCACACCGGCATTTAAAGCCATATTATTAATATCATATTTTCTAACTTCTAAAGTGGATTATTCCTCAGAGGTAAACAGTCATATAATATAAAAACAATATTTATCTACAGATGCCCCGGAGGCAAAATTCAATAATAGTCCAATGATCTTAATCCTGGCATATGAATCTATATTTTGTTAATATTATATTATTGCATTGGCTCTTATGTGCCGCTATGTCGCTATTTATTGGCCTATGATAATATCGTACATACAGACTCCGAATACACAATGACCCTTTGGGCAGC